TGGTTCCCTGTGAAAGACTTTGAATTTGTTTACACAAATCTCAATAATAATAAGAGGGAACAAACCTTTTGCGCATGAGTCTCTTCATTTCATCCCATGTGGATACGGGATCCTCATCATAGAGCTTCCTATCCTTGACAACTTGGTCCCACCATTCTGAAGCATAGTTATTGAATTGGTAAACGGTCATTCTAATCTTCTTAGAATCATCATAATCCTGCAATGAAAAAGCACGCTCTACCTTCTTTTCCCACGTAAGATAGGCTTCAGGGTCATTAGTACCACTAAATTCAGGAATTTTAACTTTGAAATTACCAAGTTCATAAGGATCATTCCTATTGACAACACGATGAGCTCTATTATGATTTTCATTACCTTCATTACCTTGAGCGCGACCATTGCGAACCTCCAGTTCTAGATCTTGTATTCTACTACATAATTGAGTAGTAACATTATACAATCTAGCAAGAGTTTCTCGCATAGCATCTTGAGAACGGTCGTCTCTTTGCTCATTATCATCTCCAGATGACATCCTTTAAGATCAAAGAACAAACGAGTATATAGGGTGTTAGTAGAAAACGTTCCTACCTCACTTCTCCTAACCAATGATCTTTTTCTTTTCCCCTCTTTTGGTAGTATCACACACAACTCACCTTTTGTATGCTCTCTTTGGGATTTATTTGGCTTTTTTCCCAATATCAAAGTGGAATAGAAAGAAAACATTCAAGCCTTTTACCACTCAAAGACCTTTGATAAAATTCTGGATCGGCTTCAATGTTCAAGTAATAGCAATATGCACCATAATAATTAATTAAATAATCCACTCGAATAAAACACTCAAAAGCAGACAAAATCAATTAGCACGTAGAGTAAATTTAGGAAAATTCCAGAAAAGAACGAGGGAGAACAAGAATCTCGTTCGAGTGTTTGGAGAAAAAATAGGGATCTTGCTTTAGAAGTATAAGCAAACTCAGATTATATCTCAGACTTCAACTCAAACTCAAACTCTTACAGGATAAGGATAAGATTTTATCCTATTTTTAAGATAAGGATAAGGATAAGATTTGAAGAGAATCTTATCTTTTACAAGATGAGATAAGGATAAGATTTTATCCAATAGGATAGGATAAGGATGAGGTTTTATCCAATAAGATAAGATTAGGATAAGATTTTACAAGATAAGATAAGAATAAGATTTAAAGAGAATCTTATCTTTTATAAGATGTGATAAGGATAAGATTTTATCCAATAAGATAGGATAAGGTTTTATCCAATAAGATAATATTATGATAAGATTTGAAGAGAATCTTATCTTTTGAGAGAATATAAGCAATTAAATAGTAAAGATAAACTCCCAATCAAACACAACTTTATCTAACCTTCTTAGATAGAGATAGACTTTGAATATACCTCTTCAAGAAGATTCTTTCCAACTTCACTTCCAACTCTTTTGAAATCTCCTAATGCAAGGCAACCTTTAATGTACCTTATCAAAGAAGACTCCTTTTCCTTCTTTTTTTTTTCTCTGCCGTCTTTTTTTTTTTTTTTTACACGGCTATATTTTTTTATATAATATAGGGGCGGCCGAGAACCCTAGACTCACACCAAATTTTTTTTTTTTTTTTATGGCCAAATCAAACAAACACCTTTAACACAAAAGCTCCTCCAACAATGAATGAATGAAAATCAATCACCCTCAAGATATAGAGATCTTGGATCGAGAGATTAAATATCAATCACAATCACCAAAGTTTGCTATTGGATGATAAACAAAACGAAAGGCACGAAACTAAAAGGAATTGTCCAAGTGGTGAACAACTCAAAACAAAATATTACAAATACCCTCTTTTGGGAAAGGAAAATTCGAAAAAACAAGAAAACAAGAAAGAACAAAAAATCTGAATTTTTGAGACCAATTATGGTAACCAAAGATGACTCTTGATATACCAATTATGACTCTAAATATGCCAACTATAGTAAAACTATAAGAAGGCTCTGATAACCAAAAAATATGATAGCAATTTGACCAATCTTTAAGGAAAGATCAACTTTGCTAATTCAGAAAGACGGAGATTTGTAGGCAGCAAAATTTGGAGAATTCGGATGTAATGACACAAAAACACACAAAAAACACACAAAAGAAAAGATATTTGACCTCACGTGGATCAATTCACAAGTTTAATGGTAGAACAACCCAAATCAAGAATGAAGAGAGCTATTTCTAATCAAGCAGAGACCCCTTGGAAAATTGTGTAGGAAAACCCAAAAGATATGAGATCTATGAGCTCAAATACCAAGATTCGAAAGATCCAATGCTAAAGACGCCACTATCAAGTGAACTAAACAAGATAGATAAGTCTAACAATTGTCACAACACATATGCAACAACTAAACAAAGAAGTCCTCACAAGAACTCCACGAAAGGAATAAAATCCTAACAAATTTCACTCAGGAAAATATCAATGACACAAGGTGTGTTGGACAAGAGAATTTCGGTCCCTATTTATGAGGGGGTGGCCAAAATTTTTTCCCAAGAAGTAGAGGAAAAACACAACTCTTCACCTCTATTCGTATCTCTAAGAATTTGAAATCAAATCAAACTCTAAAGACTCCTAGTTATCTTAAGTGATAAGATAACGAACCTAGACACTTTTACTAGTCTTAAAACATTTAAGACTTACAGGATTAATTAAAACTCAAAATACAAAGAGATAATCTCTTAGAAAGATTCCAATGGATAGAATCTCCCTTGAGTTAAAACTCTATCATCATCTTCTTTGCAGAGTGACCTTAGCCATCCATCTTGATGTAGTCTTCATCCAACGGTTGAGTAGACATCAAAAGTTGACTCCTTATTGTAGGAAACTCGAAAATAAGATAAAAGGAATCATGTCAAATATTATCCTTTAAAGAGATAAAGTCTTATCTTTCAAAGAGATAAAATTTGAATGATCTCACCCTTAAACTTTAGGGATCAATTCGACCAACATGAGGAGTGTGGCCGGCGGTCTCTCCTTGGATAGAGGGCCGAAAAATCCTTCTCTCCAAATGGGCCAAGTCCATTTGGTGTCACTTGCAACAAATTAATAGTTTTGGGCTTGTAATCTTCAAGCTTAATTACCTCTTTAGCCCATGTAGTAGTAATTAGACTATTAAATGATTCATTCATCCTCTTGCGTCTAGCACGAATCATTGGTCCAACAATGTTTGAGAGTGGATCACGGATGTAAGGATTATTTTTTAAAACAGCATCTTTAGATCCTCCATTAGCATTCACGACCTCAACTTGCTCGTCCTCTCCATTATTAGTAGCAACATGTCCCTCTCCATTAGTGTTAGCTAGATGGTCTCCATCACTGCATCTTTTTGAAGTCTGAACGATACAATTGTATTTATTTGTTAAATGTTTAATCTTCGAAGGTATTGGAATTGTCTGAAGAAACAAACCTTTGTTTTAGAGTCATACACGACGAAGGTTAATTAACTGGAAAATGAATCGTGCATTATTTTCTTCCCACTGCTATCTCTCTTGGGGCTTTGTAGCTCCATATTTCACGGCCACGATTCATGTTCCAGAAGCTTTAAGATGTTACTACAAAGGTTATGCGCCGGAAGATACAACCTTTATATCAACAGGTGAGCAAATTTACATCCTAGTCGGTTGTGTTAACTCTTAAAAATGATTGGTGTATTTGGTGGAACTACTTCTGTTGAAATCTTGATGTGGATAGATATACTCCAGCCTCCTTTGTTTTTTATGCCGTCTATGATTTACATGGATAAGACCATTGTGGTCATACATAGTTCACTCTTTAGTAGTGTTAATTATATTTATTTCCAACCTCCTCCACAAATAGTGGACTTTGTCACCCAATATATTCACTTCGAAGGAGAAAATATGTCAACTCTATAGGATGGATTCTGTGGATTGTACTACCTGTAGATCAACTTTGCTTTTTCTTTTCTTTCTCAAAAAGACCGAAGATAACTTAGTCTCCATTTGGACAAGTGTTTTGAAAAACTTTTCAAATAAATCTTTTTGGAGCAAAATTTCAAAAAGATTTTTTGAAAAAATAATCCATTTAGACAAAAATTTAACAAAAAGTTTTTTGTAGTTAAAAATATAAAAAAGCCATTTGGATTAGACCTTTTCCAAAAACACTTTTTGGTCAAAAAATAATTATTGCACTTTTTTTTAATGAAAAGAAATACTTACACAAATTTTTATTTTCATATTATTATTGCATTTTTTTTCATTTTAAAACCATTATGACTAAATTAAAGCATAATATTAAAACCATTCAAACTTATCAAATGCATAATAAGTTTGGAATATTATTATCGAGATATTTTTAAATGTCCAACTCTCAAAATAAACAAATTGTTCATAAAACTTAAAATAAATATACAACATTTTAAATTCTACACATTCAACAGATACGAATTTCACAATATTTAAAACTATAACACGCATTACACATTTGTGTTACTATAGTCATTCACCGGTTATTCCATTGCTATGGTCATGTAACTTGATCAATCACCTTAGGAGCAATCAGAAAAGATGGTAGTCACAATCACCTTAGGAACAACAATTACTTCTATTTTGAGCCTGTTGTAAATGCTCTTTTCCTAAAATCTGTTTCTTCACCACTGCAGATCCTTGATCTAGTAAACTAGGCACTTCCAGAATCTGCAAGTGATACAAGCTGTTGGCAAACACAGTAAGCAATAAAACAAATGAAACTAAAGACTATGCTGTGGAACCAAGAACTTCTTAAAATCATTTCTCGCTAAAAAGAGCCAAGACAATGGAGAATGCATTTACTTTAGTTTAGGAGTAAAAATACATTAAATCAGCCGCAATCACCTAAAAAGCCATACAAACTGCCTGATTATTTGTTCACATATCCAAATTGGTAAACCTCATACTATTCATTACAACCGAACTCCCTGATAGAGCTTTCATAACTGATGGAGCACTGCTGGATCGGACCTATCTATATATCTTCTGGACCATTGATGTCCTGCAAACATATAAGGAAAGTAGAGTCAGAATATGTCTACTCTGCTCGACATTCTACGATCTGCCATGGGAGGTAATTACCTTGTTTGCTATCACAACTCCATCTGGAATTTCCAAGTTAGATCCAGGTTTAGCAGTAATCCACTTTTCCCTAAACAAAGGAAAGACAAAAAGATGTAAGATACTATTACTAATTGCTAGCTTTCTCATTCTAAAGTCAAACAGCAAGGAGTCACAAAGAACATTAGTTTACCTTGAGGGTGATACCAGCTCCAAACCAAACATCACCAGTGACCTTCAAGCTATCTGATTCAACAATACTGGGAATCGACTTGAACCAACTTAAGAAGTTGCCAACCTGTGAAGGATGTAACCATATCAATAAGCAGTATTACCAAGAGAGTAGAATAGCAATTGAGGAACAATGTGGATTCATGAACTTACCTTCTTAAATTCAGGTCCCAATTCAATAGTAGGATTAGCTGGATTAGTCCTAGCCTCATTTCTCACCACATAGCCATCTTCAGACAACGTGTAAAGGTCGGACTGCAAGTACCAAACCAATTCATCAATAAAATTGAAAGTGCATGATTCAAAACTAAATGGCAATTACCAAACCAACACTGACCTGAACCAGGAGCAGGTCAGACGTGGCTTTTACGGGGAGGAAGCGAGATCGAGGGACATTGATGCCACCTGTCAAAGAACTGATGAAAAGAACTAGAATTAGTTAAGATTCTTTTAGGTTTTCAGCAGAGGGAAAAAGGTTTAAGCATTAAAGAAAACATATTCAAAGTTCTCATGTACCCTTATTGCAGCACCAGCAGCAGTCTCTAATTGAAGAACCTTGACGCCATCCACTTCCTGATTAAACCCAATGAAAATTCATTGGAAGAACAGGCGCATAATGGATCAAAGCAAATAGTTACAATACCCTACCTTGGGGTTTGGAATAATCTCCATCTTCAAGGCTTGTGCTTCAACAAGTCTTTTGGTTGCTTTTAAGTTCACCCATCTGCACGGCAGCAATAAATGTTATTCAATTGTAATTCTAGGAATCATCATCAAAATTATATGGACAAAATCACTAGTTTGATAAGAAACCAATGAAATGACTCACAAATTGTTGGTATTGAAAATTTTGAACTTCTTAATGGACTTGAATTCATTTACCTGCAAAGTAAAGGAGAGCATTAACAATCACTACCAGAGACTTTTATGAATGAAAGCAAGGTCAAGATACTAACATCCAGTGGCTGCAGTTTCTGGAAACTAATATTTCGTCAATAAAGCAAGCCAGGCGATTCAACTTCAGATTGGAAATCAATTTCGCAATTATCTATAAGTTTTAATGAATATCTAGTGTCTACAGACATATGCAGAGAGTAGGAATACTCTCATCCAGCATGCAGAGTCAAGATGGCTTCATAAAGCATGTAAGTATTTTTTATTTTTTTTATTAAAAAAAAAGGGGAATGCTGATCATCCTAGTCCCATGACCTTCAGAGTGATAAACTTAAAACAGTCAATATTTCAGTTTTCTTCAAATTGTGCAGAAAGATAGAAGAATTTAACAGCTTAAAAGCATTCTGTCAAGCAAAATAAAGAAACCAAGGGAAACTGAATATTACATGTTCATCAGGAACTTGGGCGATTTCCAGGAGTTGCAGCAAAAAGGATAAAAAGGGTCAATAAGCAACCAGAGTTCTGCATACTGAATTTAAGGAGCGAAATCATGCACCATAATTTCACCGTCATGTCACTAAATCTAGCCAAATATAAACCTGACAATTGAGTGCTAGTAATTATTTTAACCAGAACCATCATGACCATCAGAAAACAACAAACCAATTTTTGAAACAGACTATGCTTGAAAGAAGTGAATCCCGAGTAGAAACTTCACACTGGTTGTAAGATCACTAAAGCTGAACAGTATTACTCATATAAAATAGGCCACTGACACAAATGAGGGAAAGAGAAAGAGAGATACCAAAAACTTTAATTCAGAACAGCTTCATTGCTTTGGAGGAGAGTTTGATAATAATTCAGAACTACTACTTCATTTCTTCTTTCTTTTTTCTTTTCTTTTTTTGTCTTCTGCTATCTAATAAGAAAGCTTCAGGGACAGATCAATGGGACTAGTGACACCAACAATGATTAAGGACAGATGGATGTTCTGAATTACAGAAAATGCATTTGATAATTAAAAAATGGAAGACAAAAAAAAGCGGGGGAGGGGGGTGGTGGAACAAAAACACAAAGATGGATGAGATTCTAATCCCCAAAGGCCAAAACTCTACTCCCTTACCAAAATTAACCTGATAAGAGTAGCCTTTGAACTTCCACAGGTAGAAAGGACCTAACTCAGACCAATTTCAGAGCATAAACCCACTTAAATTAAGATGAAATTCAAGAAGCAATTGAAGCCACATTCTTAAACATCACTCGAAGCAGAAGAAACCACTAAATACCACACAAAAAATAACTTCCTAACTCCAAAAGATTCCTAACACATCCTAACACAAATACAGAAACCCGAAAAAAAAAACCCACTGAGACTTCTGTCGAAAAAATGGTTTCTATGGCAACTGGAAACAAACCCACTTCGAATATGATACAATAAATGAAACCCATGAAAAAAATTACACAAATCCCTACTGAAGTAACAAGGATTTGAGTGTAAATCCAAGTATTAGAAGTGATTGGAAGCTAAACATAATCTAATCAAAAAAAAAAAGAAAAAAGAAAAAAGACGGGAATAAGAAAGATTACCAGAACAAGGTGTCGCTTTCTACTTCTCTGTCGCCTTCACGGGGAGTTTTTCCCTCGCCATCGTCGTCGTCGTCACTGGGTTGCCACACTGCTGAAGGAGAGGGAGTGAAAAAAGGGGCGGCGGATCTGGGGAAAGAGTGAGAATACGACATACTGTTTCCTTATATCAATTACTCGTTTCTTTCATAACCCCTCTTTAACCCGGATTTCGACTCGCGAACAGAAAAAAAAGCTCTGTTTCAAAAAATTAAAAATATCATCTACTTATTTTTTAAAAAAATCTGTTTCAAACCTTCTTTTTTTCAATTTGATGTTTAGAAAAAATTTTAATTATTTTGTCCAAACGTATTTTAAATTCTAAAATAGACTTTTTAGCCTTAAAAGTCTTTTTAAAATTCTTGTCCAAATGGAGCCTTCATTTCTCAAAAAGACGGTAAATAATTTCTTCGTTTACTTGATTCCGACACGTGTTGACAGACCTCCAAAGTTTATTGATTTTTGGGAGTAAAACGTTTGTATGGGAAGAAAGGTGGACAGCATACGTTAATTTGTTACTTCCTTATTGATTTTCGTCCCCCATATTGATTGGTTAGATCGATTGATTATTCAGGGTTCTAGTCGGCCATTTTTTTTTTTCGTAATTGTAATGATCCATCGTGTAATTTATGGAAAAAAAAATGTATCCATTTATGTTTATGCCAATCAGGACTATTTGTAAACTGGTTTCTTGACTGCAGTGCACTTAACTTTAACATATCCTTTCTTTATTTCCTCTTTCACGGAATTTTATTTCCTGCGGACGGCCTTATACTGGATTTCGAACAGATAACAGGTGTCCGTACAGTAGCTTGATTTGAAATTTTTACTATAAAATGCTGAAGTTCATTTACAAAAAGGAACATGTTTTGCTACTCAAAACTCTGTTAAGAACGAAGTTCAGTAACTATTAAATTCATTGAACAGTTGACTGCCATTCTAAATTCTTTGGTAAATTTAATAATACATCAACCAAAGTGGTTGTAGTAGAGTAGAAGGGACTCCTTTACTTTAACCATAGGTCGAGGATTCGAATCTCGATATGGGCATAAAGCAACCTTAAATACTTTGGCCAGCTATCTCATCCATTGAGATGTCTGCAATTTAATGAGGGAGATTAATCACTGTTGCGACAATGGACACCCTGCCGTCTCTTTTAATACTACATCGAGGGAAATTAGTCACTATTGCGACGGTGGACACCCTGCCGTCTCTTTTAATACTACATCTAGTAGCGTCGCCTCTTTTATGTTTCAGGGACAACTGGCTAGTAGCCCGTCTCTTTTAGGTTTCAGGGCAGGGACAACCGACTGATGAAACAAGCAAGTTTACACTGCATAGAAAATTGCAAAATTATTGATACTGAAACTTAGTACTGGCTTCATATAGTCTTGATAGACTCACTAAGGTACTGTAACTAGTAATACAATGATCACAAGCTTAAGAATTCAAAAAAGCTGATGTAAAGTTAATATACATGTTCAATTGTACTACAAGGGCATGTCAAGAGGAAAGGTTGCTGAGGGTAGTAACAAAATTGAAAAGAATGGGAATCGGAGGCAATAGAGGAAGGCATCAAGCGAAAGTTCAGAAAACGCCTCCCCCACTGCTTTTACTTCTACATCTCACAGGAGTAATGCTAATCTTGTACTAAGCAGTACCAAAAATTTACTTCTGTAATTCACCAATATAGAAGTCATCAATCATATCAAATACTCGGGTAGCATGTTGTGGCCTGCCAAGATGATATTGAGGTTAGTATTAGAACACAAGCAAGCGGGGGATGTAGAACCAAGAAATTCAACACAATGCAACAAAAACTGACATGGTCGTGATAAGTGGCCAAAAGTGATGGATAAGAATAGATTTAGCTTTCAATAAATTAACCAATTGGGACAGCTTAGTTTCATATTTTCAACTTCAATTTTAAAAGAAAAGCACATCTAACTTCCTGCACCTGATATACAATTAATTCTATATCAAGGTTGATTAGAAAAACAAATGCACACATTCAAAGGCCTACCCAAAGAAACCTTCAGTTGAGTCGTCTCCAGCATGCATCAAGATGGCATCACCACCAGGATGTTCTTCTACATATGAAGTAACGTCATAGACCTGAAATTGACCATAAGACAACATGAAATGGTGTTACCAAAGATTTTCAGCATTACAGATCACCTGGTTACTGACATATTCTGCTTCCATGAGTTAAGAAGATTAAACCTTATCTTTTATGATGATCCAACAGTCTGTCCGCTTGTTATGCAACGCAATTTCAGACTTAGAGTATGTTTTCGAAGCCTAAGTAAAGTCACAAGACATGAGTTAATAGAATAGACATCAAACATAAAGTATAAAGTAAAAAAATAATCCCTGAAGCGAAATAACCAATTAAAAAGCAAATCAGCCAAGGAATAATGGTAGTCAAACTTATTTATCTTCATCAAAGTGTAATGACCAATTCAAAATAATGTTTGTTAGCTCACGAAGAGAACGGGGCATTTCCAGCAAAAAAGAAGAAGAAGAAAAAAAGAATTTCAAGCTGAAAAATGACATTCACAATGAAAAATTGCAGTGAATTATATAAGTCACTGATGTCTCAAACCACATTTCAAATGAGAACCCGACAGTTTCCTGTAACTTGATGCGTTGTAATATGAAGTCAATCAATATAATACTTCGCAGAACCACCACAAAACTGTCTCTCAGGACAAAGTAACAACACCGGCAGTATGAGGATTTTCAAACTGATGATTTATCTGAACTCCTCAATGGAATGTTCTATGCTGTTGATCAGATTTTGAACAATGTATGCCACCAGATAAACTAGTAGATGTATGCCATCAAGCAAGCTGCTTAAATCTGTAAAACAGGTTGAACTTCGAAATAAATTTACTATGATATTAACCCTATAAGTCTACCATCTTCACTGAACAAATGAGACATTTTAACAAAAAGATACTGAAACCAGAAACATATACTATCTCCTAAAAGGCTTTGCTGCATGAAAAATCTCCCACAGAAATCCAAGCATACCAGTACTATTGGAGCAAAAACAATCTTTCATATCATTTTCAGGTTAGTAGTGCCAAACACACAAAAGGGTAGCACAGACCAAGTTACTTAGACAGGAAGTTGAGGAGCAAAACAAACCGAAATTTCCAGGAAAATGAATGAACAAATTGTAGTATCTTTTAGCACCTTGTCAACGGCATTTGAATGTGTCAGCTTCTTTCCTTGATCTGCATACCGCATTAATCCAGACCAAAGAAAATTACGGCCATATTTCCAGATTCCAATAATAACAAACTCAAAGCAAAATGAACCGTAAAAAAGAAAGAGAAGAAGAAATCGCTACGCTACCTGATTTTCGCAGCCGAGGGATTACAATGAGCATGCCCAATAAGATGCCCAAAACCAAAGTTGCTACCGCAATAACCATTCTCCTAACTTCTGTATCTTAATCTAAACATAAACAACCAAAAAAAGAAGAAGAAACATTCCAACTTCAGAAGCATATAGAAATCAATTCCGCTAATTCAATGATGAAGTTCTACTTAGTTATTAGCTATACGAACATTCAGGCGTGAAAAAGGTTAACGGAAAAGGTAAAGGGCAATAATAACCTGAATAATTTCAGCAAGCGAAATCAATTTGGAATTTCTTTATGCTCCGGCAATGTTTTTGAGGTGAGATTGCCGCCGGTAACTAATAAATTCGGAGTTTCAGAGTGGGAGAGTACAATACAGCCAAGAAAAGTCTGTGATTTCCACATTCCAACAAATCACGCGTGTCCATGACTTACAGTGGGGTAACTGAACAAAATGTAACTTAACAAAATGTTTGCTTCTTTCTTGGTATTATGTAAGAATAATAAAGGTTAATACTCTTCTTCTTTTTTTGGGTAGATAATTATTTCTTTATCCCTTTTCTTTTTCTCATTTATTGCCGAAAAATGGTATCCATCAATTAGATGGAATGAGTATGACGCAGGACAAAAACGTGGTGGTTAAGAAATCAGAACTTAGGCTGATTAAAGAGTATTATGCAGTGGAAAATTAATAGAAAACTGTAGGGAATAAGGTAGAAATCGCAGGAACACAGAGATAAGCAGTAGGAAAAGAGAAGAAAACCCAAAAATCACTCTTAGGGCCCTTTGACGTCACACCGCAGGAATCCTAGGCATCACACCAAGGGTTTAGTTGAGTCACACAACTGATGTTGAAAGCAAAAGCTCGCAGGAATTTTTATTAATCTGATACTGTCTAAAACCCTCAAACGAGGTACATATATATAGGCCTAAAACTTATCCTAACCCAAAGACAATTAGAATTCTCACCTAATTTCCTTTTTATTCTAAGAAATTCCTGCAGCATAGCTAATATACTAAAATACCCTTTCCTAAATATTAATACTGAAATAAATAATTAAATTACTGCTTAATAAAGGATTAACTTAACCAAAGTCCCAACACTTTGGCTCCTTCCCTGGATCATGATGATCCTGGGCATAAATATGGAAGAACCTACTGATAGGGTTTTTCTATCATTTCTTGTCCCCATCATTCTCCCCTGGTTCGAAAAAACTCGTCCTTGAGTTCTAAAATGTCTGAGAATGAAGAACCTGACAATCTGAAACATAAGCCATGGCACTGTAGCATATTGAGTATGAGAAAACTTTCTTCGCCCAAAAGAGTAGACATTTGGAATGTACTTGCTGGTTTGTGGTCATAAACCTCTCCAAAAATGAAATTAACTTTCGAAATTCAAGGATCATAAACTTTTGAATGGCATGTCTTTAAAACTTGATTCAACTTCACAAAATTTTCATTCGGACTTGTAGCAAGGTTTCCATGAATCAATTCAGTTGACTTCTCACATGTAACAGAACCTCCCTCCAGTTTAGGATGCAAAATATTTCTCAGTAGGGCTCCTTCTTTAGCTACTTCCTCATGAATCTCACCAAGATTGAGAAGTTGTACTTCTTTTGGCTTATTACCAAACGTATTAAGTTGATAAATCTCAGGCTTATCAGCGCTCTCAGTAAGCTTACTTTGCTGAACTTCTTGAACTACTTCTTTCATCAATACATTCGTGGTTTCTCCTTTATGATCCTCTTTAAAATCCTGAACAGCCGTAGATTTATTTGTAGTCTCCTTAATAAACTCCTGAACCACATAAATCATAGGATTGTTGTCTTGTTGAACCACATGATCAGTAAGTTTATCATCGGACTTTTCTAAAGACGCCTTGGCAAAATTCTGAACCTCTGAATCTTCCATTGTAGTCTCCTGAGCCGCATGGACCAGCGAGCTACTGTCTTGAACTAATTGAACAATAGGTTCATCCTTGAACGTTTCTGCAGACTCAACCAAATTTTGATTTTGAACAGCCTCTCTGCACACATCCTCAGTAATGATAATGAAATTATGTGTGAGCCCTGAAAAATCAGGTGGTTTTGGAGGATTTTCTGTCTGAAAATCAATAACATTAAGACCAGGTTTTCCATCTTCAGTAGGGCAACTAAGAATTTTCTTATCTTGTTCTACTTGATTCTGGACAAACTCAATTGTAGTTTCGGTAGAATTCTGACCTGAAACTTTTTCGTCCTCCTTAGTAACATTCAGAGCTGAAACCTCAGGAATTACTTGATTACTTTTTTGCTTAGGTAGGTAATGCTTCATCATATATTCATTAGTTTGGGGCTTCAAAACAACTTTTATTTCGTTGAAGTTAAAGGAGTAGGTGTTGGCTCTACCATCATACTCTACTTCCCGATCATATAACCAAGGTCTTCCTAAGATTATATGTGAAGCATTCAAGAATAACATCACACCATATAGAATCAACATACCTACCTCTTTTGATGTCTACCAAGCAACACTTCGTCACAGGAATAGTTGTGCCATTAATCCAACCAACCTTATGCGGGTATGGATGTGGCTCTGTTTTTAAATTCAGCCTTTCAACAGTGGATTCAGAAACCAAATTCGCACTACTACCTCCATCTATAATCACTTTCTTGACAGCTTTCCCACAATAAATGAATGTCTGAAAGATTCCTGTCCTTCTCCAATCTTCTTCTCCTGTTTTTGGTGCTCTAGAAATTCGCCAAATTAGTGAAAGATAGGACATATCAACATTATCTTCTACCTCCTCCAAATCTTCAGTATCAACCATGCCCATCTCCTCTTCATCATCATTGTATACCTGCTCATCTTCCTCAACGATTTCTGAACTACAAGGCAAATTAGGATAACCTATGTTGTGGGGATTCATAGCTGTTGATCTCTAAACCCTTTTGAAAACAGAATTCATCAGGAAAATCAATTCCAATATGATCAAAAAAGTATTAAAAATCCCAGAAAATTCGGCTCTGATGCCAAATTGACGCAAGACAAAAACGTGGTGGTTAAGAAATCAGAACTTAGGCTGATTAAAGAGTATTATGCAGCGGAAAATTAATAGAAAACTGTAGAGAATAAGGGTAGAAATCACAGGAACACAGAGATAAGCAGTAGGAAAAGAGAAGAAAACCTAAGAATCACTCTTATGGCCCTTTGGCATCACACCGCAGGAATCCTAGGCATCACACCAAGGGTTTAGTTGAGTCACACAACTGATGTTGAAAGCAAAAGCTCGCAGGAATTTTTATTAATCTGATAACTGTCTAAAACCCTCAAACGAGGTACATATATATAGGCCTAAAACTTATCCTAACCCAAAGACAACTAGGATTCTCACCTAATTTCCTTTTTATTCCAAGAAATTCCTGCAGCATAGCTAATATACTAAAATACTCTTTCCTAAATATTAATACTGAAATAAATAATTAAATTACTGCTTAATAAAGGATTAACTTAACCAAAGTCCCAACACTTTGGCTCCTTCCTTGGATCATGATGATCCTGGGCATAAATATGGAAGAACCTACTGATAGGGTTCTTCTACCATTTCTTGTCCCCATCAGAGTAACAGAAGTAAGGGGAGGAGGTGACTTGACTTTACATATCACACAATTGGTCTTAACTCTTAACCTTGTATTCGATTTTACGATACAGTGAAATTATAAATCGACTCAACGATTGAAATAGTTGCTATTGTAGACAATCTCTACACCTCCATAAACTTCCGTTTCTTTTAAATATAGATGGGCGAACACTATGTCGAACACAAAACCCCAAACTTTGATTACCACATGAAAATCCCAGTCGCCCCATTTAATTGAAATTCCGTCCAAACTACTAAATTGACAAATTATTCCATTCAAAAAATACACAAACCAAACACAATTCGATGATCCAATCCACTTCCTTAAATAGACGCACCAATTACAATGAAACACCCAATATTCCATCCAAATAGAATCGACCTACACATATTAGTATTCATATTTTAACGAAATTCACACCACACGTTCACACAACCACCCCACGTATGCGTGGAGTACCGGTTGCGCTAGTTTCTTATTAATAAGGCTAATCAAATCAACCTCTAAACAACAGCGTTTTCACTAGCTGGACTATTTTGCTAACAAATGGCTTAACCAAATTGAAAATCGGATGCAAAGAAGTGACATGAAGAAGCCTAATCGACTAAAACCATTAGCAGTCCAATAATTATGCTTTAAGCTACAGAAAGAAAAGGTTGGAAGAAAAAAAAAACTAGAACATCTCAGCTAAATAGTAAAAGGGAAATTTTTAGACACAGCAAAGGTGCTAAAAGGAGCGGAAAAGGAGGAAAGTAGCAAAATTGGTTGCAGATTTTTTACCAATGTCATCCAACCAATTTAAATTTTGGATTCAGGGGATGAACAATATAAACAGTGCGGATGCGGATGCAAGATTTTCTTTCAGAAGAAAAGAATGGAGTCTTGTCAGGGATGGCAGAATCAGCTTTTAAAAATCTTAAGAACCAGCTTGAGAGTGAGAATTGAGAAGAGCCTACCTTGTGCTTCAGATGAAGAAGAGACGAAGTGAAGGCCACTGCTCCAACTCCAATCCGAGCACATACACGACCCACGACGGCTCCAACTCCAATCTGAATCCACTACTCGAACTCAATCACTCTGAGTGATTGGGAATAGGGCTGGCAATCTATGATTGAGAGAGATTGAGATTCAATTTTTGATTTTGGCTTTGGGTGTTGGACGGCCACTTAGAAAATTAGGGTGTAAAATAAAGTGTTGCCGAGCGCTCTAATTTTATCATTTGAGCTGAAGACGGATTCTGCAGAATAGAAACATATTTTTTTTCCAAAAAAAGGGCGAGGGAGATATGTGTCAACCATTCACAGCTGGCGCATGAGGAACACGTCATCCCTAGGAATAATCTCACCTCCCTAAAGGGATAGGGAGGCGAGAAAACCTTTGCCTCTGGCGAAGAGGTAGCACTTGTTTTGGGCGTCACTTTTGTCTGGGTTTGCTCGTCAATCAACCAATGGGTGGGTGCCACTTATTTTATTTTTAATTTAATTATTTATTTAATTTTTTGATGTATTTAATTAATATCATTTATTTATTTAAATTATTAGTTTAATAAATTTATTTATTTCATGTATTTATTTAATTATTTTATTTGAGTATTTATTTAGTAGTTTAATATTTGTTTAGAAAATTTATGTTAATTGATAGTTAAATGGATAATCTATCTTAATATTTTATGGTATTGGTAAATAAATAATGTTTAACTTAAATATTTAGAGAATATTTTTTTAATTACGTATTATGTTCATAAATTATAGTTGTTGTATTAAATAAAATTTTTTTTGGTTATTATGTGTTTAGTTTGTTATATGTTTAAATTATGTTAATTACATAGTATTTTCGTATGAAATAATTTTTTTCTTGCTAAATATGTGTTTAGTTTGTTGTTAGTTTAGAAAGAATTGGTTAATTAGGTAATATGTTCATCATAATATATTATAATTGTTAGAATAACCTTAAAAGTTTGGTAGTCACTAATTTGATTTTTTGTTTGGTTTATTTTATTTTATTTTATTTTTTGGTTGTCCCTTTGGACAAGAGCATTAATATTTTCTCTAATTTATTTCATTTAATCTCACTTATTAGCCATTACATTAAATTTATACTAATAAAGTGCTCCCTTATGTCTATGTTTATGATAATAAATTGTCATTTATCATAAAATAATATATAGTAAACTTTTGATCTACCCTTCCATTAACTTTTATCTTTAAGATTACCAAAAAAAATCATTATTAGGTGAATTTGATCAGTCTAAATGGTTTTAGTGATTGTAACCTTTAATTTCATTTTAAAATTATAAAAAAATTATTTCTCATTATTACGGAATTTGCTCAGTCTAAAAACGGCTTCGATGATTCTAATCACTCGGAATTCCAAAATGTCTTTTCTTCTTTTCTTCTTTTCTTTGAATTTAATAGATTCCTAAATGATAGTTTAAATTGTTCTATAACTAAAAAGAAAATCAAAAGTCATTTAGTCTAAATTTACTTATATATAATTTTAATGGCTGTAAGTTTTTTGACACTTCTCTTCTTTTTTTTTTTTTTGTTTCTTTCAAGTTTTTCACTTTTACCTCTAATTCTCAAGTCTATTGGAATTAATCATCTTTCATTATGCATCTCCATGTTTATCTTCTTGAATTTAGATTTTTTTTTCCTTCTTTTTTTAGTTGTTCCTTCCCCCTCCCCCCCTTTTTTTTTGGTGATACAGAAATTTAATTTAATTTTATTTTTCACTATTCATGTCCTGTTTTTTGCAATCAGGATAAAATGTGTGTCACTATCATTGAAATCACAAGTGATGAGTTTTAGTGATAATATTTTGTTGAATATATTTTTTATTTTTAAATTTGTTAATACATTTTGTTTATAGTGTGTTAGACATCAATGTAACTTACTATTTTTTCTTTATATAATTTGTATTACGTTATTATACATGGCATACGCGCGAAGCGCGTCTGATCCATCTAGTAAGTTATAGTTGTTATATTAAAATGGTGAGTACCAAAGTCAACAGGTGGATGAAAACATTTGCGCCTGACCCAATACAAATATTATTATAATTAATTTAAGTTATGATATAATTCATTTTTAATGTGTGCAGGATATGTTTGATCGGAGGAGGGGGGTGGACATGATTATAGTTCGGCTTTTGCTACAAACGAGACTTTTGGCACGAAACCTAAAACTATTGCATATGCGAAGGGTACTGCAAATATGTACAACATGGAGTTAAGTATATTCTCGTACAAGATAGTAATACTATACTTCTTTTTCATAAAGGAGGCAAGTACCAAGGTCAACAAGTGGATGAAAACATGCGCGTCCGACCCAATACAAAGACACAGACACAAATCGGGAAGATTACGAAGAAAAAATGAATCTTTTGGAGCATAATTGGTCCCAATTTCAACCCATTCTAGAGTATGTCAGGAAGACATGGTTAGTGGTGGCGGACAAGTTTTGTGCAGGCATAAACCAACACTTTTTTCCATCTTGACAACACCACTACTTGTAGAGTAGAGAGCGCAAACAAGTTGTTAAAGGAATGGATCGGCACACCAAGAAAACTAGGAATCACTGACTCATCACATGGCCCGCTAGGTACGTCGTCCGTCACAACCCAATCATCAATTTCTTCGTTAGAAACCTTAAACCGTCTGCTAGTACCTGAAACCAAATAAAGAATAGTTGGTTAATACTTAACTTTAATGCCATAAAGAAATTGACGTCGCAGTAATGAATGCTTAAATATCTAATTACAAATACGTACCCGATGACGTCGCAGCTGCCTTAGGACGCTAGAGACACCGATAGAGGCGGCACCAAAATGAGAATGAGGCTGACTGGTCTGGGGGGGTGCGACGAAGTCCCGCAAGAATGGTGCTGGGGGCCGGCATCATGAAGAGTACTACTATGACCTCCAAATAAAATGCCCCGCGCGGCGGTATCATGAAGAGTAGTACTAGGATCTCTAAAAAGAGTACTCTGTGGACCGGCATGATAAACAGTAGTACTAAGACCTCTAAAAAGAGTACTCTATGGGCCGGCACGAAGACTGGAACCACCGGGAGTGTAAACTGACTTCAACCCCGATAATCCAACAAGGGTCTTCCCCCCGGGTAGGGTGAACTGGAGTATGATCATCAATACGACCAATGAGGTTCAGTACTGGATTACCTCCAAAATGTATATCCGTACTCTCAGGCGAGGAATACTCGTTTCAGTCATCCTCCTCATCCACATCGTCCCCCCACTCTCAAAACTATCCTCATCTTGTTCTTCCTCTCCCTCAAACTCATCATCATCATCATCATCATCATCATCTACGTTCGCCGACTCACCAGGTGGGGCAAAGGTAGGATGTATATTTTTCAGTTTCTTTAAATTTTTCTCTTTTTCTATACGATGTTCAACATATAGATTGCGTGTAACTTCATGGCGATTACTAGATCCCTCAAGAGGCGATATCTCATCCTACAAAAGTTTTAAATTTTACACGTAACTTTAAATAATCCTGATTACATCCCAAAAAATTATTTTTGATACATACTTAATAAAACCTAAATAATAAATTATTAGTTTAGGTTAATTACTTAATACATTGTTATATTATTTAAATACCTAATTATATAAAATTATCTATTATACAATCTTAAATGTTTAATTTATTAAATCTACTAAATACAAGTAATAATAATTCGAACATACTTCAATTAATTAAATTATCTACACATTTTATTATTTAATTTTAACCAAAATATAATCTAACTTTTTTTTGTATTTACTTAATCCTTATTTATTTAATTTTTCTATACTAAAGATTTAATTTCTACGTATCACATATTTTTTGAGGCTAATTATAATTAAACCGACAATCCTACAAAAAATTTCAATAATCAAATTAATTATAATAACTTTCATAATTCCCCAAATTAATTTAAAAAAACTAAAGCTCCCTAAAACTGCTAATGAATTCCTAACTATGAATATTATTAACAAATTATTTACTTAAGATTAAATATATTAATAAAAATGTTTTCTAAATAAATTAAACTAATAAAAACAAATTCCGAAGATTTATAATTACTAATAATAAAAATTAAATTAAAATTACGAATATTTATTCTACAAAATAAATAACAATTAAATTAAAATAAATAAATTACAAAATAAATGAAATTTAAATACGAAAAAAATTAAACAAACATACCTGGCGCCGGCACATGACCGGTGCTCGCCAGGCGGCCAGCGCCAGGCGAGATATTTCTCGGCTCAACCCTTTGCCCCGGCCAATGAGAAAACCGTCGCCTGGGCAAGAAGAGCCGGCACGGATCTTCCGCGCCAGCTCTGTAAGGGGTGTTTTTTCTTAAAAAAAACAAATCTCAGATTTGAATTTAGAACTCAGTTTGAACGTACCTTGAGCTTCCGTGCTTCTTTCCGTAGCCGTTTCATTCGTTCCGCCATTGAATCTAAGTTTTTTGACTTTAGGAATGAAAGAATTTGAAATGAAAGATTGATTTAGCAATTGAAAGAATGAAATTGAAACTATGAATTTATAAAATCTGGTAGGGACAAATAGTTTTTTGGTATTAAATTAGGGTGCTCAAACAAAAAAATTAGGGCGCTCAACAGCCCCAGTAAAAAAATGAAACTGAAAAATGAGTTCTTTGCGATAAAATTCCCATATTAACCCTACAAAACATATAAACAAATGTTTTAGCTTTTTTGAATGCAAAATAAATGTTTTAGTTGGAACTAGTTTCTGTTCCCTTTGTCTGCTACTCTGCTTCCACTGCTATATTTATTCAGAAAAATTATTTCATACAAAAATTGTATCCCTTTTTTAGTGCAGCAAACACACGGTCCTAGATGTCCCACGCCAATTGAGTTCTTTCCTGGTACACCAGGTCCTGGAATTCATTAGTTTCTCCCCGGAGAATCTACTGAATTATCAGGATTTACGAAGGGGTCTCCCTTGCACTCTACACGATGCGATTAAAGCCTTGGGACAGCAGATGACATTCTTGCAAAGTCTCATCATGTTTGTCATACAGCAAAATGTTGAAGACAAGGAAGATTTGTTGGCTCATGCTGGAGCTGTTACTATTGATGCTGGGTTTCTTCTTTTCGACGATGGAGTTTCCAAGCGAAATTATAGAAGACTTGTGTTACGCGAAAGCTTTGCAGAAAACAAGGTGTACGACGTTTCAACGTTGATGCAAAAGATCAAGCCTATTCGTCCTCAGGTCCATAAGACTTACACTGAAGCACTGAATAGCTCTAAGTTAGGGCAAGCTTACTTGTTCCTCCTCCTGATCAAGGTAAGGAGGAAGATTTTGAAGCCCTTACTGCAACCAACAATCTCCTTTCTTCTCTCATATCTATTTTTTATGAGGAGCTGGCGCAGAGTTCTCTTGTTACGTTTCTCGTCAAGGATCAACTGCAAAAGCTCTATGAAGGACTCAGGTCTTTAAGAAAAGCGATTCTCAAGCTGCCGGGAAAACTTGATTCCAAAATGAGGGAAGACATTGTTAATGTGATATGTGATGCTGGAGTCTTCATTTGCTCATTCCAAATGAAACATGTGGAGACGTAAAGGAATTGTCAGAAGCAATCAATGTGATTTTGTCAAACCTTGGGGAGGAAGATGCACGAGTGTTGTTAGTGTTCAACTCCCCAAACACTACTACTCAATTAGCTTTTGTTGAATTTTTATTAGAAAAGCTGATGGAACTGACAAGCAACAATGATGAACCAACTTCTGCTAAGAGCTGTGCTCGAACTATCCATAATCAACTTGTATCCTTGAGATCTTTCTTGGAGGGCGCCATGGAGTTGCCAATTGAACAAGATGGACTCCAAGCTCTGATGGATCATTGTTTCGATGTGGGGTGCAGGGTGGAGAATCTCATAGAGTACCTCTGGGTTGATAATCCCCCGGATTGTGTTTCAGAATCTGTTGCTTCTATAAGGCAGGACAAAAGCAATATTAAGTAAGAAATCCAAGCCATGACACCACCAGAAATCGAACCAAAGAAAGTAACGACGATTCATAGTCATGTGCAATCAACTACTCCCTTGACGACAAAGGAAATTGTTGGCTTTCATTATCAGGCAAATTCGCTAATCAGTCGCCTCAAGAGAGGATCAAGACAATTGCGGATCATGGCAATTGTGGGTATGCCGGGTCTAGGCAAGACTACTATTGCGGAAAAAGTTTACAATGATCCTTCGGTCTCGTACCATTTCTCTGCTCGTGCGTTCACTACTGTTTCACAAACATTTGACAAAAAGGGAGTGATACTTCACCTGCTGAATCAAGTTGATCTTGACAAATGTTCCCAGATTGCTCCGGATGCAAATGCCGAAGATGTAGCTGAGCAGCTATGGCACAGTTTAAAAGGAAAGCCGTATCCCATCATTTTGGATAACATATGGGACATTAAAGCCTGGCAAGAATTACACAGATCGTTCCCTGATGATTCCAAAGGGAGTAGAATCATGGTTACAAGTCACGGTCATGATATCGTTCCTCCAGGTATGCTTGCTGAAAAGGTTTTTGAGCTGAGACTACTCAATGTGGAAGAGAGCCTAGACTTGTTGCAGACGCATTTATTCGGTAAAGATGGTTGGCCCCCTGAATTAGTTGACCTCGGGAAGGAAATTGTTGAAATATGCAATGGATTGCCTCTGACAATCCTCATTGTAGCTAGAGTTTTAAGATCCTCGAAGCCAGAGGAATGGAAGAAAATCATGGATGGTTTAAGATTTGGAAAAATATCCGAGCGCTCCAGAGATACACTGGAGCTGAGTTATAAACATCTACCTGAGCATTTGAAGCCATGCCTTTTGTATTTTGCGACGTTTGAAGAAGATCAACAGCTCTCGGTCAGGAGGCTACTTTCGTCATGGATGGCTGAAGGATTTGTACGGAAAGTTGAGACGAAGCGCCTATCAGATGTTGCTGAAGGGTATCTAAATGATTTGATTGGAAGAAGCTTGCTCATGGTTTCTAAACAAACATCCATGATTGGAAGAAGCGCCTTCATGAATTTTGTTTGCAGAAATCCAAAGAGGAACAGTTTTTCAATTCCTTGAAGGAGGCAACGATGAATTGTCAGGATTCAACGAGCTACGGTATCTACAGAGGTTATGCATTCACTCCGGTGCAGGGGAATTGATTCATTCAGAGGTATTCTATCCTCATGTACGTTCTCTGCATTTCAGACACTCGGACGATCTATTGTTGCAAAGTTTCACATCAATGATGCACATCTGCAAACGCCTTCGAGTGTTGGATTTGGAGCAAGTTTATTTTGATTGCGGGATTCTAAGTGAAATAGGGCAGCTTGTTCGATTGGCGTAGTTTGCCTTTGGAGGCTTTATGTGGGAGATCCCATCATGGATAGGTAAACTCTCGAATTTAGAAACTTTAATCATAAAGATTGATGGAGTTGACAGGACACCGCCATCAGAGAGTTTCTGGAATTTGCGTAAACTGAAACATTTTTCCCTGTCCAGCAATGACAAAACAAGTTCAGACAATATGGATGTGGGGTGGCACCTAGCGAATATCGACAACTCGCCTGATTTATGCGAGTTGGAAAGTATTACCAGTGTGGCTATTCCTTGTGATGGTGTGGAAAGAGTACTGAAAAAGTTTCCAAATCTTTGTAAGTTGGGACTGAATCTCGGTGGATTTCCAGATGATTCAAGTACTCTTGCCCGTGTTGTAGTTCCTGAGGCTTTGAGCCACCTGGAATCACTTGATGTCTACCACGATGAATCTAACCATCTTACGGTTGAGTTTAGCTTGCCGGAAAACCTGAAGAGATTGTCTTTACGTCAATTTAAGTTCTCCGGGAGGATGCTTTCGAGCATTGGTAAACTGCCAAACCTCGAATACCTCAAATTAGACTGTAGAATTCGAAGGGGACACGTGGAGAATGGAAGATGAGCAATTCTCCAATCTCCGAATCTTGAAACTGATGTGGTCTCAGCTTCGTCAGTGGAGTGGTTCTGATGATCAGTTGGGATGTCTTGAGAAGTTGGAACTTTACAGATGTTTCGATTTGAAAGAGATGCCGTCTTGTTTGGAAACCATTCCGGTGCTTCAAACAATCAAGGCTGCTTATTGTTCTGGAACGGTGGCAAGGTTGGTGAAGAAGATTGGGGAACAACAGGTGGATTATGGAAATTTAGATGTGAAGATTACCATTTCTGATGTCTCTTGGTAAGAGATTTTTTACATGGTAAAGCATATGTCAGAATCTACCCATTGTGTTTGTGTGTCTTCATCTAGTATTAATTTGTGGTTTGTACGTATCTTTTGTACAAGCTATCATTACTAGTGCAAAATGAGTACCTAAAATTATCATATCTGATCTGATGTTCAATGTTTCAATGCTCTTTCATATATTCAACCTCTTTGTATTTTCAATGGTGTTTCACAACCTAAGGAAATTCATTCTTATTTTTTTTGGGTGCTGTCCAAAAATAGATTCGAGATGCATGTCCTTAATTTGAAACCCGATCGGTTTAAATCACTCGGCAAACAACTATCCTTATACTAATATACTATTTTCGTCCCAAAAAAAATAATTCACACTGGGTTTTGAATTTTGTACTAGCTTTTGTACAAATTTGAAAACTCAATGTGGACTATTTTTCAGGGACGGAGGGAGTAGTATCTAACAGTGCGTTCATTCCAGTGAAATTTTGTCGGATGAGCAAATCAGGAGTGTTTTTCATCTCCATGAAGTATTCTTATTTACTTTTATTTTCACTTGTTAGTTCATCATTTGCCTAAGAAGGATTTGTTACCTGAGAAATATTGAACCTGGGACGGATTTGTTGGTTCATCCTCATTCTCTGTATGATAAAGCGGATTAGACTTTTCAAAGAATTTCACCTGCTCTCCCAAGGCTTTGACTGCATCAAGTAGAGCACTAGGGATACAAAAGACTCTCAAGTCCTGGAAATTTTCCAGATTCTCCAGAGAGAAGCAAATGGGAATTGTTTCAAACTTTAATTGAGCTAATGAGGTTGTGCCATTTAATCTCCATTGGCGGCATTTGAAAACCTGATGATTCTTATTTATTGAAAGTAACCGAATGGTCAGAATGTGGGAGACAATGAGACTAAAACGTGAATTCTTCCAATAAATCACTCTGGTGGCTTTATTTGTCTGCTTTTATATTTCCATTGGAAAAAAAAAGAACGGAATTAATGAAAAATATACACATAAAAATAGAGAGATCATATAATGATGTTAATTAATGAAATGTAGGAGGAATCAAAGTCAATGGTTAAATCACTGGTATTGAAAAATTGAACCAACAGAAAGTCAAAATTCTGTAGTTTTAGGTTTCCCAATATCTCATGATCATGTGATTGGTTTAAATTCCAAATCTGAATTCTGATCATATATAATCCCATATTGAGTCATTTCTAGGTACTGCTAATTTTTGTTATTATTATTTTTTCAATTCTTTTAATTCAGAGACTTGCACATATGTATAAACTTGCCATGTATTGCGATGTCAATGTGACAAGTTTGTTGGAAACTCCAACAGCCCAGCTCATCCCATGTCGTACTCGAATTTTATACTTCTTCCTTCCCATAATTATTGTCCAATTTGAATTTTCATTTTTAGTTTAAATTGTACCAAAAGTGAAATTTCAAACTGGATAATAATTACGGGACAGAGAAAGTACTACTATAATGGAATTATGTAGCTATAAATAACGATGATAGCAAAGGCATTGAAGTTTGGACAAATAAAAAGATTTACTCATTTATTAAGTTGAGGTAATTGTCAATCTGGTCATCTCATCAATTCATTTGTTTATAAGCTTAAAAATCAAGAATATTATCCACAATCAAAACAAGGTATTTCTTCCATCCTAGAAACACAGTCCACTTTATAAAACTTAAAATGGACAATTTTCTACTCTATATATAGGTTAGCATGCCATGATAACTTCTCAACCAGCTTTTGCGCTGTGAGTTGGTATTGATCCACAATAATTGATAGTAGTTCTTATAATAATGTGTATCAACTCTTGGAAATTAAATAACAGCCTACTGATTATGGTGTTGTATTTCCTGAGAGTAAATTCGTGTACCTAGAGGAAGTTAACCCACAATTAAAGTGGAGTCAACTGAGGTAAATGTTTATTTTTATTTTTCTAAATGTACATTAGCTCTTATTGTTATGCCATTGAAGTCTCCTTTCTCTATCAATCAATTTGTATAATGGCGTCATTTTTTACAAGCAATTTTCTTCAACTTCCTTCCCTTCTGTTTTGACTTGGGATCATCATCTTTCACTGCTTTTTTGGTTCTCCTCCTTTTCTATCCTTATATCTCCTTCACCATCACCAACAAGAGGATGGCTTCCACCCTTATTGATTGTATTCATTCCGCTTTACGTAAAGTAGAAATGCATATAGAGAGGACCCCTCTTCATATGGTTTCCTCCTTAGTTCTTTATAAGAAACGGAAGATTATGCTAGGAAACCTCAAAATGGATGTCTTTTTTTGCACAAAGTTGGACTTCAACTTTAGTCCATCATGTTTGGAAAAGGCTGAAGACATTCTTAGTAAAATTAAAAGTCATATTCCGAATCCTGAGAGTAGATATGGTCCATATGGATCTGTTATCCTGAATTTCTCTAATCGTGTCTATGAAGACATTCAATCTCTTCATACACTAACAAAAGAATTGTACCCTGCCCTGTTAGACGCCCGGCATCGATCAAGTCCTCCACTCACGATAGATGAAATCTGGTATTTCTTTTGGTTCTCCCTGGAGAATATAAAAAATTTTCAGGATCTGGCGGGAATCCCCAGTGCTCTACGTGATGCAATTGATCTCACGCCCCGAACCTAGGGCCTAGTTGACACACCACAGGTACAACAAAGAACTATGTCCCATGTCATACAAGTAAGGCATCTTATATTATTCTTTTTTTTTTTTAAACTCTAAGATTGATAAATCCAAACTACCATACATTATTCATCAAAAGCAAATTACTAGAGTCTTATGCAGCAGACTTAAACTATAACAAAATACAAAAGAACATTTCTTCAATTCGCTTAGTGGTCAACAATCTACCATTCTTCCCCATCATACTCCCCGTCGTCGTTATTGTCATCACTGTCACTCGAAGTAACTATTCGGGTGTCAACACATGCAAATTCAAGTACTCCTGCAAACTTGAAAACATTTCACGGAACATGATCAATTCAAAAATGTTCATAGAACACTTTCATTTCATAAAACAACATTTCACTTTGTAACTTTCTCATTTCAGAAATAATAATATTAGAAATTGAGATATAGCTATATACTTTATATATGATAATCTGTGCACAGTTCCAGATATAAACCCTCTGAAATTGGGGATCATTTTAACTTAAGGTTACTCTCGCCTTAGGACTTGGGCTTTCCAGCTTTTTTCACCCCCTTTCACTTTAGTGATCACTACTATAATATCGTACGTGCATATAGTCTCAATTCCAAAATATTTTCAACATAAACCACAGAAAGCATTTATCATATTCCGTGCATAACAATCAAAAAATTTAGTTCACATAAGCACTTAGACAAGCACGTACATCGTGCAAGGGAACGCACATTGACTTAAGCAACTTCCTTGTCAAGCAATTCAACACCTTTTTCTCCACCTAAAACCATGCACATTATTTTCTTAATACTACTTTTACAATACTAATAACTTCTACTAATATCTTATGTATAAGATTGAAATAATTTTAGTTTTAAAACTTCTTATACTTGTGTACCATAAACCACACTAGAAATCATCCCCAGGAAAGATTGGAGGGGTCACAACGGTCCTACTTACAATCTAACCTCCTTAGACAGGGCATCTCTTAGTGAGCTGTTAGTATATAATTAAAACCTATGTTTAGTATAATACTAGTAAGTTTTTGCTAAAGTAAACTTTAAAACTTTAACTACCATTCACTATTTACGAAAATATACCCATATTTGAAAAACGTACAAAATACTACTTTGAAAGAAAGTATGATATAATAGGAGAATAAATAGTATTTATTTAAAATATCGTATTATTTTAAGTAAATGTATACTGTTGTTTGAAAGAGATTATATTACTACTAACAAACAGTATATCACTACTTAAGGAAATGTACTAATACTTAAGAAAATATATGAAACATTATTTTGAAAAGAGAATAAACTATCAAGAAGCATATATATTATCATTTTGAAAAGAAGGTATACTATTACTTGGAAAATAGAGCTTATTATTTTGTGATATTATTATTTTGAAAGAAAACATACTACTACATAGAAAATATAGCTCATTATTTGGGAAGACATATTACCACTTACAAAATTAAAGAAGATATAACAATCTAGTTGCATGGCTTACTATTTAAGAAGTTATACTATTACTACCAAAATATGGATAATACTTGAAACCATTAATCTATACATTCCTAGAATATATAACAATAAACATTCAGAGTCATATATCATAAATAACACAAAGAAATTTAACTCCTAAAATTATAACCCTAATTAACAGGAGGAGTTTGAAGATTGCCTCTTAGAAGACTCCTTGAGACTCTATGATCCTTCAAAGCTACCTTAATCTTCCTTAAGAACTACTAGGCAATTTTTGAACTATAGCTAAGATTAGTTGTTCACTAAAAAGTGTCCAATGCTTAGCAAATTTTTGGTGTACCACAACACAATGGGAGGTCCTCTATTTATAGGGGGAGATTTCACTATTACTACCTACCCTTCATTATTTTTTTTAATATTTTTCACTATTCCTACCTATCCCTTCATTATTATTTTATTCCTAACTAATCCTTCATTATTTTTTAAAAATATTTTTTCACTATTCCTACCTACCCCTTCATTATTATTTTATTTCTAACTAAACCTTCTTTATTACTTTAATATTTGTTACTACTCTTACCTAACTCTTCCACATTATTTTAATATTTTTGTAAGATGACCTTTACTATTCACATTAATTTAACATTATTTTTACTATTAATGGAAGCTTCTATTGTTATTAAAATCATTGTGTTTATTATATTATTTTTATTAGAGTTAATATTGTTATTGTTATTGTTACTATTATTATTATTATTTTTCCACATATAAGAAAACTTAGGATATTCTTAATTTAAATTAACTTAGAACAACCACATTATTACAAAAATATTGGGTATTTGGTAGAGCAGATGACATTCTTGAAAAGTCTCATCCACGTTGACGAAAAAAAGAATACTGAGCCAAACAAGGATTTGTTGTCTCATCCACGTTGACGAAAAAAGGAATACTGAGCCAAACAAGGATTTGTTGGCTCACGCTGGAGCGGTTGTTATTGAGGCTGCATTTCTCCGTTTTGATGATGGACTTTGCGAGGAAAGTTTTTGAGTATTAGGGTTGCATAAGACAGCTGCAGAAGAAAAGGTGTTGGAGATTTCAACATTGATACAAAAGATCGAGCCTGTTCATTCTCAGGGGTGTAAAATTTACACTGAAGCACTGAATAGCTCAAAGTTGACTTCAGTAGATCGCGGTACAGCTTACGAATCCATTGATGCAACGCGGAACGTCCTTTCTTGTCTCATACCAATTCTTTATCGGAAGCTTGCACAAAGCGGCCGTGTTGTAGATCCTAACAGGAATCAACTCCAAGAGTTATATGAAGAACTAAGATCTTTGAGAGAAATGGTTATCAAGCTACAGCCAAACAAACTTGATCAGAATAATATTCAGGCAGACATTGTTTCTGTGGTATGTGATGTCGAAGTACTCATTTGCTCATTGCAACAGACTCATGATCAGGAAACAGGCCTAATTAGAGTTATGACTCAAGAATTGTCTGAAGCAATCAAGAAAATTCTATCAAACCTTGGAGAGAAAGATGCTCAGGTACCTGTTTTCAACTCTAGCAGCACTACTCTGTTTGTTTTTATTGACTTTTTAATAGAAAAATTGATGGAGCTGACAAGAAACATTGATGAAATGAATACTTGGAATTGGGCTGAGACAATCCGAGGACAACTTGTCTCCTTGAGATCCTTCCTGGAGGAGGACATTGTGGAGTTACCAAATGATCAAGAGGAACTCCAAGCTCTCAAGCGTCGTATTTTAGAGGTGGCATACACGGTGGAAGACCTTATCGAGCACTATTTACTGGTTGGTTGTCTCTAAGATTCTGTTTCAGAATTATCTTCTTCTTCTATCATGGAAGACATCAGCAATATAATGTCAAAAATCACAGTCATGAAGAAAGAAGAAATCAAAGAGAAGAAATCAACAGCGACTCAAAACCAGTTGGTGAAATCAACTTCTCCCTCAATGAAAAAATAAATTGCTGGGTTAGAAGATCAAGAAACACAATAAAGAATTGGCTGATGAGAGGATCAGAGAACTTGCGGATCGTGGCAATTGTAGGTATGGCGGGTCCAGGTAAGACCACTTTGGCCGAAAAAGTTTACAACAAGGAATCAATCTCATACCATTTCTCTGTTTGTGCCTTCATCACTGTTTCCCAAACATTTGATAATAAGGGAGTGATAACTCACCTTGATAGAAAATAAGCCAACTGTGTATTAAATAGATAATCACAATGTACAAATACAATCCCTATTAATAGAGCTAAAGTCAAATCTATACATGGAAACATATCAATCAACGATTGTAATCAGCTATAATTTGAAGTATATCATACTAAAATATTCACAGAATATTTACATCATGATTAACATTCCCCCTCAAAATCAAGGTGGTAGAAAAGAAACCAACTTGAGTTTGGCGACCAGACTATTAAAACGAGTGGGCAATAACGGCTTCATAAAAATATCAGCTGTCTGGTCTTGTCTTCGATACAGGAACAAGTGTGACAGAGCCTAGCACAAAATGCTGACGAATGAAGTGGCAATCAACTTCTATATGTTTGGTGCATTCATTAAACACATCGTTATGAGCAATTTGCATGGCACTATTACTATAAGTTCTGATGTAGTGTTCACAAGAGCACGATATTCAGATTCTGAACTGGAACATGAGACAACTGTTTGTTTCTTACTCAGCCAAGAAATAAGGGAATCTCCAAGGAAGAAACAAAACCCAGTTGTAGATCATCGATTAGTAGGATTGCCAGAATAATCAGCATCCGAGTAGGCTTGAAGCTGTAATGGAGAAGTGGTAGAGAAATGAAGACTACGAGATAGAGTACCCCGCACATATCTCAAAATACGGAGCACCACTGTAAAATGAGTTGATCAAGAAGACGACATAAACTGGCTAACAATATGGACAATATAAGCTATGTCAGGACGTGTCATAGTAAGATACACCAAACTCCCAACCAATTGTCTATACAAGGAGGGCTCCCTCAAAGGAGAACCATCAATTGGGGTGAGACGGACATCACTCCCAATCAGTGTTGAAGCAATCTTACTATCAGTAAGACCTGCACGAGATAAAAGACCAGAAGCATACTTGAATTCAGAAAGATAATATCCGGAGGCATCAGATGAAACTTCTAGGCCAAGAAAATTTGCTAGATTCCCCAAATCTTTCATCTCAAACTGATTGCTCAAATATTGCTTGAACTCTATAATACTAGCTGCATCATCCCCTGTGATAATCATATCATCTACATAAAGCAACAAGAGAACAGAACCTTGATTTGTATGACGAGTGAAAAGAGCATTATCATGAGGGCTAGAGGTGAAACCCAAATTATGAACAACAGAACTGAACTTTGCAAACCAAACTCGGGGAGCCTGCTTGAGACCATATAGAGCCTTCTTGAGATGGCAAACAGTGTCTGGAGGATGATCATAACCTGGAGGTGGTCACATGTAAACTTCTTCCAACAGAGCCCCATTGAGAAATGCATTTTTGACATCCATTTGAAATAATTTCCAATTCTTAATTGCAGCCACAATAATGAGACTACGTACAGAAGTAAGATGGGCAACAGGAGCAAATGTTTCCCCATAATCAATTCTGTACTCTTGTGTATAACCCTGAGCAACAAGCCGGGCTTTATAAATCGCTCAACAGTGCCATCTGCCTTGGTTTTAATCTTGTAAACCCATTTACACCCAACAGGAGATTTTCCTGAAGGCAGTGGAGCAAGCTCCCACGTTTTAGTTTTCTCCAAGGCCTGTAACTCATCTTGCATAACTTGTTGCCATAAAGGATTAGTGCATGCTTCTCGATAGTTTTGAGGTTCATAAAGAGAAAGAATAGTTGAATTGACTGAAGAATGCTTAAGCTGAGGTATATCAACAACAAAAGAATCTAAATGAGATGGAAGCCGAGAAGTTCTTATGGAACGACATAGAGGTGGTTCGACATCAACTTCAGGAACATGTGGTGCATTTGGATTAGAAACCTCAATATTTGATGATGGATCCTCAGGTGTCGGATCAGACAGAGTATAAGGCGGAGGTTCTTCAATACTTGTACCTGTGACTGGAGAAGACTCAAAAATGTTGGTCGAGTCTAAATCAGGAAACAAGTCTATGGATGGGTCAGCAAAAAACAGGGAAGTTGAAGAAACTTGAAAAGAAGACAAGGAAGAGAACATTTTGTGTTCCTAGAATGTGACATGTCGAGAAATATGGAGACGTTTAGAAAAGGGATCCTAACACCTATATCCTTTATGTTCAATAGCATATCCCATGAAACAACAAAGACGAGTTCGTGGTTCTAATTTGGAATGCTCATTTGGGGGAAGGAAGACAAAACAAGCAGACCCAAAATACACGAAAAAGATCATAATTAGGAGTACGACAAAAAAGAAGCTCGTAAGGAGTCTTATTACCAATGACAGGAGATGGGACACGATTGATAGTATAAACAGCAGCAAGAGCAGCTCCCCCAAAGTCGCTCAGGACAAGAAAAAGAGATCATTAAAGCTCTAACATTGTCAAGAATATGCCTATGTTTTCTCTCCGCTCTCCCATTTTGTTGAGATGTACCTGGACAAGAACGATGAAATAATGTGCCGTTTAGCTAAAAGATCAAGAAGAAATGAATCTTTGTATTCCATTGCATTATCAGTTCTCAACACTTTGATGGTTTTCGAAAACTGAGTGTGGACCATCTGAGCGAATTCAGCATAGACATCTTTTAGCTCATATTTGCTGTGCAACAAATAGATCCAGGTATATCTAGAAAAATCATCAACAAAAATGACAAAATATTTTGAACCACCCATCATAGGAATAGGAGAAGGACCCCAAATATCAGAATGAATCAAATCAAATATAGCAACTGACTTAGAATCACTATTAGGAAAAGGTAATGCATGATGGTTTAGCCATTTGATAAGATAAACAATCAACCTTGTTATTTTTAACATACCCTAGTAGTCCAGCAGAAATCATATTATTTAAGCGCAAAAAAGAGACATGACCAAGATGAGAATGCCAAGTTTCGGAGGAAACAGTGGCACCACAAATGGAAGGACGTGATGGTAATTGGAGTGAAGTGAGTTCAAATAACCGCCCAACCTTACGCCCTGTCCCAACGATCCGGCCCGTCCTTAGATCCTGCACAATACAACCATTACGAGAAAAATGAACATCAAGATCAAGCTCACAAAGTTGACCAACGGAAACAAGATTTAATAACAACTTTGGAATAGGTAAGGTGTCAGGTAGAGTGAGATTGGAAGTAGACACGGTACCAATATAACTAGCAAAACTATCAGAATTATCAGTAGTTTTGATACTAGTCAAGGAGGAAACATGATTTTTAGTGGTAAACAAAGAAGAGTGCGGGGACATATGATTATAGCAAGCAGAGTCAAAATACCAAGAAAAATCAACATCGGAAGAGGTGGACATGGCAATATTTGATGTATTAGAGCAAATGGAGATGAGAGCTCTTTTAAGAGTATCAACATCAATTCTCTCAAGGATAGTGGAAAGACTAATGTTATCCATCAACAAAAAATAACAGCAGTAAAGGGCCGAAAGCACCAATCCAAAAACCCAAACAAGAACAACAAACTAGGATAAATGGCAACAACAAAAGCCTACCAAAACCAAGATCAACCCAGAATGTCTTGGCAGCACAAGCAAACAAGAACCCACAAAAAAAGTGACCGATGGCCCAAATAAACCACAAAAAGGTCAACCCAATAAAGCTGAACTCAACAAGAAACCAGCAACCCAACCTATCATATAGTAGCCCGTAATGATAAAAAAGAAAAAGAACCAAACTCAACAAATCAGCCTCCCAAAAAAAAAAAAAAGACAAAATGTCCCCAACAAGAGAGGCTGAAATTAAAATCTTGGATGCGGCAGATCTGCGAAATATTCACCGAAGCACCGATGAAGACCAGAGATCAGGATCGAGTCTAGAGATTAAAGTGAGACGCAGCGGCAAGTTGGCAACAAACAAATTCTTTAGAAAAAAATAAAAAGAAAATGAGATCAAAATAGGAATACCAGAGCCAGGTAAACAGAGCCGTGAGGGCTCTGATACCATGATAGAAAATAAGTCAACTGTGTATTGAATAGATAATCACAAGGTACAAATACAATCCCTATTAATAGAGCCAAAGTCAAACCTATAAATGAAAACATATTAATCAACGATTGTAATCAGCTATAAATGGAAGTATATCCAGAATATTTACGTCATGATTAACACACCTCTTAAAGCAAGTTGATCCTGGCAAATCTTCCGAGGTTAATTCTAAGACAAGTACAGAAGATGTGGCTGAGAATCTATGGCGCAGTTTGAAAGAAAACGATATCTCATTGTTCTCGATGATGTATGGGAAGCTGAAGCCTGGGGAGTGGAATCCTTTTGACAAGTCGCCGTCATGATGTGGCTCCTCCAGATATGCTCCATGAAGAAAAACCTTTAAAGCTGAGACTACTCAGTGAGAAAGAGAGCCAGGACTTATTGCAGAGTATATTATTCGGTAAAAATGATTGGCCTACTGAATTAGATGAGCTTCAGATACAGATCGTTGAGACATGCAGTGGATTGCCTCTGACAGTTAGCTGGGATTTTAAGATCCAAAGAGCCGGAGGATTGGAAGGAGATAATTGAGAGTTTAAACTTGGCGGTCAATTTTTCAGAACGCTGTAGAGATACATTAGAGCTCAGCTATAGGCATCTACCTGAGCATTTAAAACCATATCTATTGTATCTTGCGATGTTTCAAGAAGACCAACAGGTCTCGGTCAAGAGGTTGCTTTCGTTATGGATAGCTGAAGGGTTCATCCGGAAAGTTGAGATGAAGCGCTTGTCAGATGTTGCTGGAGAGTATCTGAATGATTTGATAGGAAGAAGTTTACTTATGGTTGCCAAACAGACATCCATGGGCCGAGTGAAGAGGTGTCGAATCCATGACATGCTGCATGAGTTCTGCTCTCAAAAAACCAAAGAGGAACAGTTTTATAAGTAAAATCGGATTTTAGAAATCCGACCTTTTTGTGTTATAATGGGGCGACGGAAAACACTGTTCACGTATCGGGATTTTTGGTAAAGGAGGCTATTTCTTGAAGGAGGAGATGATTTTAGTGGCGATTTTAAGATTTTGTTCACGATTCTTCGCAACGGATGTCTTAAAACCATTTCACAAGAAGGTTAGTTAATGTTTTGATGTATTTAGAATTATTGTTGTTATTTTCTTTGTAAAAGTGTAGAACTAGGATGATTTATAAGGTTTTAGGGTTGATGTTGGGTGTAGTTGATGATTGTTGTTGTATACGTGGTATTGAACGTTCAATTTAGTAAAATGCTTGAATTTGGCCTAAACTTTTGAATTTGTAGGGGGTTTAGTAAATTTAGTGTTGATTATGCCTTGTTTGCGGTAATTGTTATAATAAGTTGTTTGATAATGCTTTGTTTGTGTCATTTTTTTTAATAATTTGTTCATGATGTGTTGTAATTCACGTAATCAACAGATATAAATGGCGTTTAACGGTCGATATTTCATTAATGTCTATTGGTCGAGCAAATTTGTAGTGAAGAATGGGATCGTGAATACTTTTAACAACATGCCGGACGATTCCTTTGTGATTGATCATAAGTTATTGTACAATGATTTGGTTGGGCTGATTTGTGAAAGAGTGGGGTGGAATAGAAAGAATGTGAATTTGAGTCTATCGATTTTGTATGATACGATGCGCAATGGTTTTAGGCGTATCGCCAAAATCAAGGACGACGCATCATTGCAAGTGTTGTATTTCCTCCCAAGTTCAACATATATTGATTTGTATGTAGATTTGGAGGTGGCGGGTATTTCTAGGTCCCATTTGGAAGTAGGGACAAGTAGTGGTAGGCCGAATGTGGAGAATGTCGATTACATGGAAGATGATGATGTGGGTGGACCGTTTATGGAGGATGGCGATCACATGGAATATAATCACGGTGAAGATGATGAGGACTACACATCGATAAGTGATCAAAGCGATGAAAACCAATCAATATCCGAAGGAAGTCGGGAGAGTGATGAAGAGGTCAAAGACAAATTCGCCACAAAGGACAGGCACATATATCGTTCACAGGGTACATGGGATCATACAAAAGTGGACAAGGATGATTTTCAACTTACCATGTGGGACGGGACAACCGCAACAATTGGGATAGGGACTTGTTTCAAGAATAAGGAAGAAGCAAAAAATGGTATTGCAGCGTGGAACATAGAGCAAAAGAGAGAGTTTTATGTGAAGGAAAGTGATGGTTCAACATAGTATATTTGGTGCAAATCCCTAAAAGAGTCAACCCCTAAGGGTTATGTTCCTTGCCGTTGGAAGGTACGTGCCTCCTTGAGAGACCACGGTTTGTGGGAGATCGTGAAATGGGTACCCGAGCACAATTGTATGAATGTCACCGAGGAAAATAATAATCAGAATGTGAGCGCAACGCTTATTGTGCATCTCATAAGGCATAAGGTTGAGTTGGACCCAGATTATGAAGTGAAGCTCGTTCAGGAAGAAGTGAAAGACCGTATGCATGTCGATGTTCCTTACCACAGGGCATGGGAAGGAAGGAGAAAAGCTATCGATCTTGTTTACGGCGACTGGGTTTCCAATTTTGACATACTTCCAAGGTATTTACTTAAGTCCTATCTAATTTTTTTGATTTGTTTGTAATTTAGGAATAAAATAAGGATTAATTTTTTTATTTTAATTTAGGTTTTTCGCCGCCCTAGAGAAGAGCAACCCCGGCATAGTTGTAGAGTGGGAATGGCAACCGGGTTGGACCGATATAGAGAGGACGTTCAAATACGTTTTTTGGGCATTCAAGCCTGCAATTGATTGTTTAGCTAAATGTCCTCCGGTGATTAGTATCGACGGGACGCACTTGCGCGGCGGATACAAAGGTAAATTACTTGCTGCAATGGTCAAAACTGTGAATAAGCGCATCCTGCCAATTGCATATGCGATCGTGGATGAAGAGAGTGAGGAAAGTTGGTCATTCTTCTTGAAGCATTTGAGGAATCATGTTATATCCGACCGGCCTGTGTGTGTTATATCCGATCGGCACAAGGGTATCATCAGTGCAATACTCCTAATGCCCGAATGGAATGCATACCACTGGTTTGCCTTCGTCACGTCCGTAGTAACTTGGTGGCGCAGTTTCGAAGTAAAAAGATCAAAAGGTTGTGTTGGGAGATGGGCATGAAATTTTCTAAGTCTAAATTCAAAGAACTAAGGAATGAGCTACGTGATTTTAGCAATGATGCTTATTTGTATCTCGAGGAGATTGATGCTTGTCAGTGAACTCTTGCCAAAGAAAAACACTATCGTTGGGGTAACCAGACAATGAACATTTCTTAGAGCTACAACAACGTCCTCAAGGGCCTTTGTTTCTTGCCGATCCGAGCTTTGGTGGAAGCCACTTTTATTAAGACTGTGGATTTGTTCCAGGAAGAATACGTGAAGTCGAGGAAATGTATTACTCCGGTCCCAACTGACTTGTGGGAAGACTTCAAGAAAAAAGAAAAGAAAGCCACGCAACACAAAGTCAACCGTTATGGTGCTATTAATGGCAAGTTCAAGGTGAAAAGTAGAGTCCGACTTGGTGGTAAAGGGGACAACACGTACACTGTGAAATATGAAGAGAAGAAGTGTTCTTGCAAGAAGTGACAAGAGTATAGGTTCCCTTGTACACATGCACTAGCTGTGTGTCGGAAGATTTATGTAAGATATATGTCGATATTTTATTTTAAATTTTTTTTTTATATTTTAATTCTTGCTATATCTTATACTTTATTAACATGGTTCAATTTTCTGCAGTCTTCAAATCTCAGCAACATATATCATCTCGCTGATGCAGCCTTACGGGAAAATCCAATCCTCGGTGGTAGTCTAGAGGATAAACTCTTCCAAATCATTGACAAGAGTTTCAGTGCCCTGACTTTGGGCCCACGTGATATGAGCACTCATTCCGATACTCAAGTTCTTCAGAAAAGACCCCCAGAGTCAAGTCAAAATGTGGTGCTCACGCAGAAAACAACATCGAAGCCTACTGGAGGAGGAAGGAGGAAGCGACCGGGAATGTCAGATCGAACAATCATAGTTCATCCCAATCCAACTCCGATGCAAGAAGATGATGAAAATGATGAAGGCAATGAAAGCGATGAGGATTACTATATTAGGGGCGAAGAAGAAGAAGAAGAAGAAGAAGACGAGTCCTCTCCACCTCGTGTTTCTTCCCAAAAGAAAAAGAAAATGGTCGAGGTTCGCAAGAGTGATAAGGTTAGTAAACCGGCCAAGAAGTATACTCCCGGCGACGGGGCTATAAGGAAGAAAAGGTTGTCAAAGTAATTCAATTGTAGGACTCTTTTATTTATAACTCTTTCATGTATAAATATTGTAATTTGGATGATTTGGGATTTGAATTTGTTGATGTTTGTTTTGATGTGTTTAAAATGTGTTTATAGGTAATTTTATGCGTGAAATTTGGTTTTGGTGCTGTTTTGATAGGTTGGGATTGGTTTAGAAACCAATCCTTTATTTTTTTTCAAAGTATCTGTCCAAGGTCGGATTTGAGAAATCTGACCTTCTACTTGTTTTACGAAGAAATCGGATTTTGAGAATCCGAACTTAACTTACACGGATTCTCAAAATCCGATTTAAACTTACCCGGATTTCTGAAATCCGACCTTACACTAAAATCGGATTTTAAAAATCCGAATTTGGTCAAAATTTTATTTCAAAAAAAAACTAAGTGTTTTTCTGAAAATATTTTATTTTAATATGATAGGGTCGGATTTTCAAAATCTGATCTTTTTTTAATCTTGATTAATTTCATTAATTTTTCGTATTAAGGGAAGGTCGGATTTTGAGAATCCGATTTAACTGGAAAATCGGATTTTAAGAATCCGATATCGGTATTTTGCTCTTCCCCAAAATTCGACCTATATTTATCTCTACTCCTTTTTTTGAACCATTTTTTAACTTAAAAACTCTTGAAAAGGCGTATGGTGAATGTACTTCAAAATAGCTACTTATTTTTGTCATTCCAAGTAAAAGAACCAGACTTTCAAGAAAATTGAAGACAGTGTTTTGTTACCGAAGCAACTGTACACGTTAGATATACATCTGATGCCATCAAAATGAATATCAATTCCAGTTGGACGACCTTAATTTTAGAAGACAATCGATTAACAGCCCAATTTCTCGCAACTTCTGACAAAGATGTTAAGTGATAGCTATATGTATAATAATTATAAGATGATGGCAACGGCGGACTATGACTAAAATTACAGTCAAGTAAATCAAGCAAAGGCGTTTTGTGTGATCGTAAACCACATAACCATAGCTAGTAAAACAATTGGATGGTAAAGATATTGAAAGATTGCATGAAAGAAAAATAGAGAGATTATTACGGGACCGAGGGAGTACATAAAAGTACAGAGATCACATCCAATAATCTTCAACAACCTGTCACTGGTTAATTAGTTGATTCCATGCGCTGCACAGCATTACTTCATTTATTGATACGAAAAAAGTATTGAAATTCAACCAAAAGAACCTGCAATTTTTTAAGTTTCCCAATATCTCATGATCGTGTGATTGATTTAAATTCCAAATCTGAAATGCTTGCTGATCATATAATCCCATGTCGGGTATATGAACTCCGACAGCCCAGCTCATCCTACGTTGTACTCGAATTTTATCCTACTACAATGAAATAATGTAGCTTTCATGATGGTAGCAAATTAGGGTATTGAAGTTTTCCTTTTGCCAGTTGCAATAAGATTCAGTCTTTACTTAAGTTGAGGTAATTGTCAATCTGTTCATCTCATAAATTCCTTTGTTTATAAGTTTAAAAATTAATACTATTTTTCCAAAAAGAAAAGGTATTTCTATCCGTCCTAAAAATATAATCGACTTTGTTAAACTTTCAATGAACAATTTTCTGAGGCGGAAGGAGTGTATATTTATTAATATTGGTTTTGCATGCCAAGGATGACTTCCCAACCTGCTTTGCTTTTTGAGCTGGTATTGGTCCACAATAATTGACAATAGTTCTTATAATAATATACATCAGGTTTTATTATAATGAAATTATGGCCATTGAAGTCTCCTTTCTCTATCAACCAATTTGTATGAACGTGAATGTCACTTTGGTCAACTCTTTCTTCAACTTTGTTCCCTAATCTTTTGATTTCTGATTATCATCTTTCACTGTTTTTCTCTGGTTTTCCTACACCCCAACAAGAAGATGGCTTCCACCCTTATTGATTGCATTCATTCTGCTTTACATGAAGTTGATATGCTTATCCATAGGACCCCTCTTCATTTAGGGAACTCCTTAATTCGTTATAAGCAACTGAAAATTAGGCTAGGAAACCTCAAAATGGTTGTTTCCTCTGCCACAAAGTTGGACTTCAACTTTAGTCCATCATATTTGGAAAAGACTGAAGTTATTGTCCGTAAAATTGGAAGCTATGTTCCCAATCTTGAACGTGAAGGTAAATTTTTTTTCCTGACATTCTTTTATAAGGTAAATGAAGACATTAAATCTCTTCATACACTCACAAAAGAATTGTACCCGGCCCTGTTAGACGCCCGGCGTCAATCAAGTTGTCTCACGATAGATAAAGTCTTGGATTTCATCAGTTTATCACTTGAGAATGTAAAAAGTTTTCAGGATTCGGCGAGAATCCCCGTCGATTTACATGATGCAATCAAAGCCTTGGAAGAGCAGATGACATTCTTGAAAAGTCTCGTCGTCTTTGTGGTACAGACAAATATTGAGCCAAACAATGATTTGTTGGCTCATGTTGGAGCAGTTGTCATTGAGGCTGCATTTCTCCGTTTCGATGATGGATTTTGTCAAGAAACTTACGGAGTATTGGGGTTGGAAAAAAGAGTTGCACAAAAAATGGTGTTGGAGATTTCAACATTGATCCAAAAGATGGAGCCTGTTCATCCCCACGTCGGCAAAATTTACACTGAAGCACTGAATAGCTCAAAGTTGACCGCAAGATTATTACTTTCTCCGGCTGATCGCGGTACAGAAAGTGATGCTGAATCCCTTGTTGCAACACAGAACCTCCTGTCTTCCCTCGTATCAATTCTTTATCGGAAGCTTACACAAAGCGGTCGAGTTGTGGATCCTAACAGGGATCAACTGCGACAGTTATATGAAGGACTAAGATCTTTGAGGAAATCGGTTACCAAGCAACTACCAAACAAACTTGATCAGAAGAATATTCAGGGAGACATTGTTTCTGTGGTATGTGATGTCGCAGTATTCATTTGCTCATTCCAGCAAAGTCATGATCAGGAAGCAGGCCTAATTTGTATTGTTCAGCAGTCGTCTGAAACAATCAAGAAAATTCTGTCAAACCTTGGAGTTGGAGAGAAAGATGCACAAGTTCCACTTTGCAACTCTCGCAGCACGACTCTGTTGGCTTTTTTCGACTTTTTGATTGAAAAGTTGATGGAGCTGACAAGCAACAATGTTGAACTGACGGCTATCCAACAAGAACTTGATTCCTTGAGATCTTTGTTGGGGGACATTGTGGAGCAGCCAAATGTTCAAGGGGAACTCCAAGATCTGAAAGGTCGTATTTTGGAGGTAGCATACAGGGTGGAAGATCTCATCGACCACTCCTTACTGGTTGGCAGTCCCCCAAATTCTCTTTCAGAATTATCTTTTTCTATCAAGAAAGACATCAGCAATATAATGTCAGAAATCACATTCACGAAGAAACCAGAAATCCAAGGGAAGAAATCAACGGCGAGTCAAAGCCAGCTGGTGAAATCAACTTCTCCCTCAATGTCGACAAAAGAAATTGTTGGCTTTCATGATGAGGCAACATCAATAATAAATCGCCTGAAGAGAGGATCCAAAAATTTGCGAGTACTGGCAATTGTAGGAATGGCGGGTCTAGGCAAGACCACTTTAGCAGAAAAGGTTTACAACAATGAATCAATCTCGTACCATTTTTCTGTTTGTGCCTTCACCACCGTTGCCCAAACATTTGATAAGAATGGAGTGCTACTTGATCTCCTAAAACAAGTTGATCCTGGAAAATATTCCAAGGTTACTTCGGAGGCAAATGCAGATGATGTAGCCGAGCAGTTACGGCGCAGTTTGAAAGGGAAGCGATATCTCATTGTTCTGGATGATATTTGGGAAGCTAAAGCCTGGCAACAGTTGCAAGCATCATTCCCTGATGATTCCAAGGGGAGTAGAATCATTTTTACAAGTCGTCGTCATGATGTTGCTCCTCCAGAGATGCTCGATGAAGAAAATCACTTTGAACTAAGACTTCTCAATGAAAACCAGAGCCTGTATTTATTGCAAAGTCAGTTATTCGGGAAAAATGATTGGCCCACTGAACTAGATGACCTTCGGATGAAAATTGTTGAAATGTGCAATGGATTGCCTCTGACAATCATCCTTGTGGCAGGAATTTTAAGATCCATGGAGCCAAATGATTGGAAGAGGGTCATAGATAGTGTAAACCGTGGCAGTTTAGCAGAACGTTGCAAAGATACACTTGAGCTCAGCTACAGACATCTACCTGAGCATTTGAAGCCATGTCTATTGTATTTTGCGGCGTTTCGAGAAGATCAACAGGTCTTGGTCAAGAGGTTGCTTGCATTATGGATGGCTGAAGGGTTCATCCGGAAAGTGGAGACGAAGCGCCTGTCAGATGTTGCTGGAGAGTATCTGAATGATCTGATAGGAAGAAGTTTACTAATGGTTTCCAAAGTGACATCCACGGGCCGAGTGAAAAGGTGCAGAGTCCATGACTTGCTGCATGAATTCTGCTCACAAAAGACGAAAGAGGAACAGTTTTTCCATTTCCTGGAAGGAGGCTACGATGAATTGTCAGGATTCAACGAGCCACCGTATCTACGGAGGTTATGCGTTCGCTCTAGTGCAGAGGACTTCATTGAATCAAATGTGTTTTGTCCTCGTGTACGTTCTCTGCGCTTCAAATACTCGCAACATCATGTCTCGCAAAGTTTCACATTAATGATGCACATCTGCAAACGGCTCAGAGTGTTGGATTTGGAACAAATTCATTTAGATGGTGGAATTCCTTGCGAGATAGGAGAGCTTGTTGGGTTGGCTTACCTTGCCATTGGAGGTTCTGTGAGGGAAATTCCGCAATCTATAGGTAAACTCTCCAATTTGAAAACTTTTATAATAATTGGAGATCTTGGTGAAGACCCATTCTTACCAGAGAGTTTCTGGAATTTGCGGAAATTAAATCATCTTTCCTTCGCCTTATCCGATGGTCGGCTTTATTTTGTGATGGGTTTGAGGTTGCCCTGTGAAAATCTAGAGAACTCATCTGATCTAGGTGAGTTGGAAAGGATTTCTGGCGTGGGTATTCCTTGTGATCGCGTGGAGAGAGTATTGAACAAGTTTCCAAATCTTCGTGACTTGAAATTTCAGCTGTGCGGATTAGATAATCATGATGGAGATCCTGTTGTCCAGGCTGTTGTAGTTCCTGACATTTTGACTCAACTAGAGTCACTTTTCGTCTACAAAGATCCAAATGTGAAGTCTAAGGTTGAGTTTGGTTTGCCAGCAAAGCTGATGAAACTGACATTGGGATCATTTGAACTGACTGGGAGGTTTCTTTCAGGCATTAGTAAACTCCCACACCTCGAGTATCTAAATTTATATGGTACAGACTTCGAAGGTAACACATGGAGGATGGAAGAAGAAGAGGGGCAATTCTCCAAACTTAGAATCTTGAAACTGCGATCCTGCTTCCTTCGCTCCTGGAGTGGCGGTGATGATGGCGAAGATCAATTTGGTTGTCTTGAGAAGTTGGTTCTTTCTGATTGCCGCAGTTTGGAAGAGATGCCTGCTTGTTTTCAAAGCATTCAGACGCTTCAGCTGATCAAGTCCACTGATTGTACTCCGACTGTGACAGATTTAGTGAAGAAGATTGAAAAAGTGCAGACAGATTATGGAAATACCAATCTAAAGATCATTGTTTCTAATGAGGTTTCTTGGAGAAATTAAAGTTGTTTGGAAATGCTTTCAAATTAAAAAGCAAGTGCCAGAAACTTTTGTATTGTACTTAGGTTAGCTTGTCAATTTGTACTTTTGTTTAAAGCCCTTTGCAGTTTGCAGAATGTTTCCATTGCAGCAAAAACGAATGCCTGAATGAAATTTGTGTGAAAAGCAAAAAAAGTACTATTACATTGTAGACCTGTCTGTTAGAACTTTGAAGGTTCAGATCTGAATTTCCAGAATCTGCCTGGACTTCTTCATTGCTCTTCACCAACTTTGTTACCGCTATAGAACGATAAGTGGTCTTGAATCATTCGAAGCATCGGAATAGTTTTCAAACAAGAAGGTGTGTCTTTCGAATCGTTGCAGTCAAAAAGTACTAATTTTCTCCAAGACACCCAAATTGATCATCGGAACCACCCCACCAGCGATGGGAGTAGGAACTCAGTTTCAGGATTCTGAGTTCCGGGAACTGATCTTCTTCCATCGTCCACGAGTACCCTTCAAAGTCCGTGCCATACAATTTGAAGAATTCGAGGTTTGGCAGCTTACCAATGCTCGAAAGAGACCAGGAGAATGCAACACTACCCAACGTGATTTGCCTTAGATTTGCTCTCAATTGGTTCACTTTCTATATTTACAAAAATGTCATTGAAGCAGAAACACAGGATGAAAGATCATTAGTTGAACCAAAGTATAAGATAGTGTTTTCAATGAAGTGTGCAGCGCATGATATCATCAAGTACATGTAAATCAGCGATAACACAACGTTCAGAATCAATGAAGTCTGCACAATTATGATTCATAGACATCAGTTATTTTCTTTTCTCTTTTCCTTGTGCACTAGCCCTTGAATGGAACAAAGGAATCAATGTCTTCAAGTAAGATGCGATCTTGGATCTTCTAACAAAAGAGCGTTAAAAATTCACATTTGTACAAATATTTTCTTGAGTTCACACTATTTCTCTACCTTTTTTTCCCCTCTTTTTAATGTGTTGAATGGAAGTCATTTTGGGATGGAAAAAGTACAAAATTTGCATTTCACATACAGGATAGCTGTCAGGAAAATAGCAAATACTTGCCGATAACAGGGAATTGTTAACATCATTCTCATTTCTCATATTTCAAGGGCTCCAAATTATATCTAAATTTTATACATTGAAGATTCTTAGATCAAATTTCACAGAGTGATTTAAAAATATCGGCCTTCAAATAAAGGAAAGGTGTCTCGCACCTTGTGAGATGATGATGCTCAGATAACCAAAACAAAAAGACTTATCACTTCTTCAAAGCCCCGACAACTTCCAGGTTCCAAGTTAATTACCAGAACGACGATCACATAATATGTTTTAGGAACGTCGGACTCGAATTCACAAAATTTTACTGTTCCATAATCAATATACAAGTCAAGAATCATGTGATCACTATTCGTTATATACAAATTGCCCTCAAACTTTTGCAATTACCTCAATTATTCTTCCTCCTTTTCATTCAACTTTTCCATGCTGCCTATGAATTATCATGATTCCATATTGTGTCATACAAACCAACCTAAACAGAGAGGTCGGCATTCGACACAAATATAGTGATTCTAATTTGTTGCAGGAAAACTAAATTTGTACAAGCTACAAAAACAAATTAATAAGCTAAGCTTGGCCAAGTACATACTACGGAAAATGAAATGAGAATGAGTTGATGAAGACATACACATAAACGAATTTGGGTAGATTCTGACACTTGCTTTGCTATGTAAGCCTTACCAAACAACTTGATGTTCTCTGGTTTCAAGATCTCTTGCAAAACTCTTTAGAAACAATGATCTTCAGATCGGAAATTCCGTAGTCTGTCTGCACTTCTTCAATCTTCTTCACCAACATTGTTGTCGCCGCAGAACAATATGTGGCCTTGATCAGTTGAAGTGTTGAAGTGTCGAATGTTTTCCAAACAAGAAGGCATCTCTTCCAAATGGCAGCAGTTAGAAAGTACCAACTTCTCAAGGCACCCGAATTGATCATCACAACCATTCCACCATCGAAGCAAAGAGGAATCCAACTTCAAGATTCTAAATTTGCAGAAGTGATCTTCTTCCATCCTCCATAAGTCTCCCTTAAATTCTACATCTTTCAATTTGAGAAATTCGAGGTTGTCCTGTTCGACAATCTAAATACTTCCAGTGTCAATTGCTTCAGATTTGCTGGCAAGCTAAACTCAACCGTTTCGTAACCTCCTATAATGTCGTAGGCATAAAGTGATTCTAGTTGAGTCAAAGTGTCAAGACACACCGCACCCATCATTCCGAAATGTACAAATTCCAGCTCAAGGAGATTTGGAGACTTCTTCACTACTCTTTCCTCGCCACTATAATAAAACCCCGCGCCAGAAATCCTCTCCAACTCATCTAAATCAGATAAGTTAACAAGATTTTCATTTGGCAATCTAGCACCCCACAAGAAGTTGTTAACAGAATCCTCGAGAAAATAACAAAAATGCTTTAATTTTCTCAGATTCCAGAAACCCTCTGGTATTGGTGGGGGATCAGAATAAGATTCAGTAGTTCTTATCATGAGTGTTTCCAAATTAGAGAGGTTACCTATGGATGCCGGGATCTCCCTCACATCTCCTCTAATTGCAGGGTACGCCAACCAAACAAGCTGTCCTATCACACTTGGACAACCAAACCCTAAATTAATTTGCACCAAATCCAACACTCTTGCACATGTGCATCACTAGCAGGAAATCTCGAACCACTTGGCCTTGGAAGTATTTGAAACGCAATGAACGTACATGAGCACAAAGTACCTTTGCCTCTAAGAAATCCTTTGCGTCAGAGGCAATGCATAACCTTCGTAGATACCATGGTGTACTGAATGTTGTAAATTCACCATATCCTCCTTCAAGGACATGGAAAAACTGTCCTGCTTTGGCTTTCTTCAAACAAAAATCATAAAGCAAGTCATGAATGCGACACCGCTTCACTCTGCCCATGGATGTTCGTTTTGCAACCATTACCAAGCTTCAACTAAATCATTCACATAACCTTCGGCAACATCTGACAGCCGCTTCATCTCAACTTTCGAATGAATCCTTCAGCCATCCATAACGAAAGCAACCTCTTGACTGAAACCTGTTCATCTTCTTGAAACATCACAAAATACAAAAGGCATGGCTTTAAATGCTCGGGTAGATGTCTATAACTGTACTCCAATGTATCCCAACAACGTTCTGATAAATTCCCAGAACTTAAATTGTCTACCGTTGTCTTCCAGTCCTCTAGCTCCGTGGATCTTAGAATTCCAGCTACAAATCCAGGCTTTCTTCTTCATTGAGTTGTCTCAATTTCTATGGTTTTCTTTCATCCAGTATATCTGCGGGAGCGACATCACGATGATGACTTGTAAAAATAATTCTACACCCCTTGGAATCATCTGGGAATGATTCTTGCAACTGCAGCCAGGCTTTAGCTTCCCAAATATCATCCAAAACAATGAGATATCAATTTCCTTTTAAACTGCGCCTCAGCATCTCAGCTGCATCTTCTGCACTTGTTCCAGCAGTAATCTGGGAGCATTTGCCAGAATCAACTTGTCTCAACAGGTCAATGAGCACTCCCTTTTTATCAAATGTTTGTGACACAGTAGTGAAGGCTCGGACAGAGAAACGGTACAAGACAGAAGGAGCATTGCAAACTTTCTCAGCCAAAGTGGTCTTACCTAGGCCTGGCATACCCACAATTGCTACGATCCTCAAGTTTCTTGATCCTCTCTCGAGGCGGTCAATTATTAACTTTGCCTGATCCTGAAAGCCAACAATTTCTTTCGTCATTGCGGGGAGGAGAGCTGATTGCACTTGAGTGTGAGCCGTCGTTACTTTCCTACAAATGATTTTTGGTTTCTTCATGACTTCAATTTCTGAGTTAATATTGGTGATGTCTTTCATGACAGAACAAACTATTTCTGAAACAAAATCAGGGAGATTTCCAATCATTAGGTACTCAATGAGGTCCTCCACCCTGTATGCAACCTCCGAAACCTGGCCCCTGAGAGTTAAGAGTTTTTCCTGATCATTTGGTAACTCCACAGTGCTCTCCAAGAAAAATCTCAAGGAAATGAGTCCTTCTTGAATAGTTTGAGCACGTCTTTGCAGTTGGTTCATCATTGCTGCCTGCCAGCTCCATCAGCTTTTCTAATAAAAAATCAATAAATGCCAACAAGGTAGTGCTCTGAGAGTTTGTTATTGGTACTTTTATCCCAAGCTTTTCCAGAATAATATTGATTGATTCTGACAATCCCAAAATAAGACTCATACCTTCTCCAAATGTTTCTGTTGGAATGAGAATATGAAGAGTCCTGCATCACATACCAAATTAACAATGTCTTCCTTAATTTTTGGGCCGACTTTGTTTGGCTGTTGCTGGAGAATAGTTTTTCTCAAAGATCTGAGTCCTCCATATAGCTTCTGCAAAGGATCTTTTATCGGAACCACAACACTACTACTCCACGTACGCTAACTCATGATAAAGAATGGATATGAGAGAAGAAAGGAGATTCTGCATTGCAATAAAGGCTTCATCTTCCATACCTTGATGATCAGTGGGAGAAAGTAATTCCGCAGCCAACTTTGAGCTATTCAGTGCTTCAGTGTAAATCTTATAGACCTGAGGATGACTAGGCTTGATCTTTTGCATCAATGTAGAAATATCCAACAACTTTTTTTCTAAAACACCTTCATGCAATTCATGTCGAAATACATATTCTGCAGGAGCGATAGATGTGTCACGATAGCCCTTGTCTTGCAAACTCCATCATCAAAAAGGAGAAATGCAGCATCAATAGCAACAGCCCAGCATGAGCCAACAAAATCCATGTTTAGTTCAATAAATCTAAAAATGACAAAGAGGATGAGATTTTCCAAGAACATCATCTGCTCTACCAAAGGTTTAAGTGCATCACATAGAGCTCTAGATGTATCCCTCACCATAACCTGAAAATTCTTTAGATTCTGCATGGAGAAGCTAATGAATTCCAAGACCTCGTCGATCAAGAAACAAGAACTTGGTTGACGTGCGGAATTTTGGAGGGGGGCATCCAATTTTTTAACAAGTGTTTCAAGATAAGGATAGTCTCTTTTTTCTTCTTGAAGAAGATATGGATAGTACTCCGTTGAATTTACCCAAGGGATACGCTTAATGCAATAGCACATTGAGGATCAACCCTGAGAATATATACATAGCTATTCTGTGAAGATATTGTTCGGTCTCCACAAAAGATGGACTTAAGTTGATGCCCAACTTTTTGGCACAACGAAGAGGCAAAATGAGGTTTCCCAACCTAAATTTCAGTAGCTTGTAAGGAATTAAAATGGTAGCACCAAAAGAAGGGGCCTTTTCCAGTAGCAGATCTACGTCAACCAAGGCAGCATGAATACAATCAATGAGATTGGAGGTCATCATTTTTCTTGGGAATGAGTAAGCAACAAAGGAACTTGAAGAAAGAAGGCAAGCAATCTGTTTTGGGAACCCAAGACAAAAGAAGAAAGATTGGTAGGATGAATAAAATGAAAATGAGTATAAAAGAGATTGACGAAGATGATGATCAAGATGGAAGGAAGCTGATAAAGAAAGTGAGCAAAATGACAACCACTTCAACATTCATTCCATTTTCCTCCCACTTTATCTTTAATTACATGTTAATATTTGTTGATAAAGATAATTAATCCTATACTACTGAAATTTGGTCCTACTAATATTCTAGATCACTGCCAACTCAGCAGCCAATGCTTTTTTCTTTTCTGCGGATCCAAGAAAAAAAAAGAAGGATTGGGAAGTCCTCCTTAGCATACTATAACAGTACTGGAAAATATTTTCTTTGGCAATGCGGTATCTACTATCGGCAACCATTACTAATCTTTTCATTGAGTGATCGATATCTTAATGAATTGGATTCTTAGTCAAAAGATTTAAAATTGCTTTATATTTAGGACAGATTTCGAACACCCGATAGGTGGGGTATGTATGATTTCCTTGGTTGATTGTGAAAATTTCTGATTTTGTTAAGATCAAACAAACAAATTGATGAGCTCAGATTAATTAATCAATGATTAAATTTTATATTATGGGCTAAAGGAAAGTTACATTACATTTGCTATCATTAGTGCTGCATAGTTTCATAATTAAAAATAGAAGAGATGATGAGCTGGGCTGTGGAGGTGTGAGTTGGAGTTTCCACTATCCTTAACTAAGAGATTACTTTGATTTTTTTTTTTTTTTAAAAAAAAAACAAAACAGACCTACCATAATGTAGTTTAGTGGAATGAAAAGTTAACTAAAGACGCAACAACAGATGAAGAGAATTAAAAAAAAAAAAAAAAAAAGTAAAGCAGGTGGTGGACATGAAGCGTATTTCACATGGAAATGGAATTAAAGTTCAGTTGATACTGTATCACTAGAAAACCCAATGACGATGACTATGGGGGTAACGTTGATGGCATCGGTAATAATAAAATCTTTAAATCGTTAAACTACATTCTTTCAGGGCGGGAACAACAGTCTTCTTATCAAATATTTTGTGGATCGAGAACTGTTGTAATAACGCCCTGCAAAAATTAATTATGATTGGGAGCATGCAAATGTTGATCAATGTTACCGCGTTTTACACAGTATCAAAAACTAACCGTCAGAGAAAAGGGGAAAAGGTTAAGAACAAGTTTGTTTTTGCATGGGAAAGATTTAACATTGGAAAGTGTATATACTCAAAACACTTTGCACAATGAGAAAGTTACCTTACATTAAGATCACCTTCCTAAACAATAGGGGTTTATCTGAGTTTTGCAAATCAATTTCCAGTATCCTCTGATCGGCTGATCCTATTTCGCAATTCCACTTCATTTCCAGCGATCTTTGGGAATTCACGTACCTGAATGTATCGAATTCGGATAAAATCATGCTACCAATTCGACTCGTGGTTCGAACCTTGCAATAGAGACACACACAATGACACAAATCTCATTTTCTCCCACATTCTAACCATTCAGTTAATTTCAATTAGCAAGGATCATGTGGATTCAAGAAAAAGCAATTTCATTTGAGTTTAAGGCTTACAGGTCCATTTTCTCTTTTCTTTGTTTTCCTGTTTTTCAGATGATGGTGGCCATGATTTTAAGATCTTGAATATCAGGTCTGAAGGTCTAAATTAATTAGCATCCAAAAGAACCAACTAATAACAAGAACACCACCACAATAAAAGAGTCAATCGTGGCAATTTCTTCTACTAACAAAACAGATGAAGCTATCAAAAACAAATTGCAAACAGTTTTCGGTACTTCAATCTATATATTTATCGCGCAACACCCAATTAAAAGAAGAAATAACAAAAGGAAAAAAAAAACAAAAAAAAACAAAAATCTCTTAGGAGCAAAGAAATCAATTCTCGAACTTTCGGAAGAGATCCCAGAAAACCAAAAATTAAAAAAAAAAATAATAATAATAATAATAATAATAATAAGGGGAAGGGGTAATGCAGATCACCTGCACGTACAGCAATATCATCAGGATCAAGATTCTTCACGAAATTAGTAGAATCGGACCAATTATTATTCCCTCTTACAGGCAAAGTACTCGCGTTCCCAATTCAAGAATTCAAAGTTTGTTTCATGATATTACCATCATCAAAACCTGAGAATTCATTCAGCACTAAGTTTTTCACCTTCTTCCGCAGAGGAACTGAGGGAGGGAGGACTGACATTGATTCTGACAGTTGGGTTTCTTAAAAGAGCCATCTTTCTCAACTGTTTATAGAGAGTTTGGATGGTTGGTTGGTGAGTAACAGAATGAGCAAACTGTTTAATTATTTCACTAAGGTAAATTTAATTGTTACAGTCACAAAAATAATCTTTTTTCTATTGTCCTCAGAAGCAGTTTTGAGTGACTGGTATTGGACAAACAAATACATCTACTAAATTTGCAAATTCTTTTGCTCCACTCCATGACTTTATGGGTCTCAAATAAAAAATGGAATAGTGAAAAAATTGGGAGTAAGGGGTGACTGTAAAAATAAAATTAGCTTTAAGCTTTAACTTGCTTTGTCCTAAAACAAGGGTGCAGTTTTATAAAAGTACAAATTATTCTGATTTATCACGCGAAACAAAAACAACATTTTTCTTTACATGTTTAATTCACTCTAACAATATTATATTAAGTACTCAAGAATATATATATACACAAAGGAGGTTAGATACCCAAATAGTTGTTTTCCCATGGTCTAATTGTCTTTGTTGTGTCCAATACTCCATAAATCATAATAAAATTATGTAAATATGTCGCATATATAAAACAAAAGGTATTTTACAAAATTACCTTGAATTTTTTTTTTAATTTTCGGGGAAAAAAAATTATATGTACAATATCAAATGTTCCAACAGAAACAGCAATACCAAACCTGTTGATTAGCCTAGTGTAGTGATGTCCAAACTCATTATGTAAGTGATCTAATAATACCCAGATTTTATAGTCTATCGTGTTTTAGCTATCGAGTAAAAGAGCTTGTTACTTACATTAGCTTATAATAAATGATGCATATATTTTATGCACTTCAATCAAATTAATGCATTAATCTATTTTTGTTAATGATTTGTTGAATAAATATTACCGGGGTTGAACAAAACAGTGTAGGTTGGTACTTTAATTAAATAATTTCGATTATTTCTAATTGAGTTTATTCTTGAGTTAATTAATTTCGTCAGCTCTTAGTATTAGTCACATTCAAGCATTCGACTGAATTAAAATCAGAAGCTCAATATAATGCAATAATCAAAGGAGATGGAGTTTCGGAAATCGAAACAAGCAGAAAAAAAGGGTTACGAAAGGTAGTTATGATTACTTCATGGTTCTTGTAATTAGTTCAATGATAACCAGAATTGATACATAACAGTGAAATTAGTACTTTAATTTAGATGGCTTTGATTAATCTAGTTAGGCTTACATCCATGAGTTAGTTAAAAAGCTTCAAGCACTATGGGTTTGTTTAAACAACACTTCGCATGAAAGTATGTTATACTCTTTCCATCTCAAAAAATAGTTCACATTGAATTTTGAAATATATAATAAAAAATAGTACGTATAAATATCAAAACTCAATATTAACTTCATTTTTTCTAATAGAGAAATTAATTTTTAAAGCAACGAATGCCTATTTTTGAACGACTCCATGGTGTACACTTAAATTCCCTGATCAACACTGTTGTTAGTACAATCGATCATTTGTTAAATATTTTAATGTTACCAGTTTGCACGTTTAACTAAAAATGTTTAAGTGAGACAATGTAACCTTATTGCTTGAAAGTGATAATTGTTATATTTGAATAACTTAGTTGTACTTATCAGTTATCACCCTCCCATTGATTTTCAAGTGTTTGATGAATGTAAATGTTTAAGACGTTTTACCACCCTAACAGAGTACATATATATAACTAATATAGCAAGAACACTTACTTGCGAGCAGTGACGAAACTAGTTACAGATATTTACAGGGTTGAATATACACATAATTTCTTTTCAAAATATTTTAAAAATTTTAATGTAATTTTTCTTTAAAAAAATCGCCGACCATCGACCACCCTGCACTAAAGTGTGCTCCCCTAGTTCCGCCCCAGCCTGCGAGGGACATCTACTAGGTTTTCCTTAAAAAAAATAATTAAAAAAACCTAGAATATAGGAGCATAAGCACAGATAATTGAACTTTCTTAAAATGACAAGAAAATTACGTATCCCTAAATTTCTATCCTGCAAAAAAAAGAAGAGAAAATATGGCCTATTCTAACATATTAATCAAGGAAAATGCCCATTTATACTTAATTTATTTACGGGCAAGAAGGATTTTCGGTATTGAATCATAGCCTTCTTTTAATATTACAAGTAGTGACACACTCAACCCTTTTATTTGCACAACAAGAAGTTCATGTCCTTGATCGTAAAAAAAAAGGCTAGTGATAATGCCAACACAAAAATTAGCTGTTAGGACATATTATACATATTTTTTCGACATTACTCTTAATTAGTCAAACTGTTTTATATCTCTTCCTTTTTGCTTTGACGTTTCTTTAGTTTTTGTGGATTAGAACAAAAAACAGAGATGGTAAGAATTTCCCATATCCCTCCCTCTTCTATGGATCGGTGGCTAGTCTATTTCCATGCAAATGATCAACGAAGAGATTTCTTGTAATCAACTGGACCCTATCATCTTCTTGTTGATTGGGCATGAGTTGCCTCAAAAGTTTTAGAATTGAAAACCAACTTCTCGTAAAGTTCTTTGTGTTAATGGTGGCAAAAAGTTGCCATGAAGAAGGTCTAAAACCCCTCCCAAGTATGGGAATGCATACAAAAGCTTAAATCCTATGATATATCCCACAAGTTAAAGAACATGAGTTTATATTGCAATTGAAGATTAGAACTCTGAAGAGAAGATTTTGATTTCTACTTTTAAAATTGGGATAAAAATTTGTATATAATGCTATGTGATTGTCGCCAATAAAAATAAATGTTAGGAAGAAGATAATTAGCTGATTATGGTCTATTCGGTGAGGATTGCTAAATGCTAATCAACCAACACAACGGTTTTGGTCGGGGTTTGCAGTGTAATGAAGGCCACAGAGGAAAGTTATAGTTTGACCTATTAAGGGTAGTGTTAGAAAGATATGTATAGTTTGCTCTGGCGGCTAATTATTGTGCTGGCAGTATGTCTACCCAAACAAAAAAAATCCCATTTCCTTAATCAAACGTCGAGTTTCCCTTATTATCAGATTCCTGTACCCTCCTTTGAAACCTCCTTATTTATGGTAATGGAGGATTCGCTTCTTGTCATGCACCAAACCAAACCCTATAAGAGGAACAAAGCAGAGACTCAGAGATCACTCCATCATCAAAATCATTATCTTCTTCTTCTTTTTCTTCCTCAAGATACTTTTCTTCTTCTTTGTTTTCTTTTTCCAGGCCCAAAATAAATAATAAATAAATTAATTAATAAAAGCTATGGATTCCCAAAACTTTCATGAATTCAGCAGTTTACCTGGTGTTGCAGCCCCGCAACAGCGACCGGAAACTTTTGATGCAACAAATCCACCAAATTCACCTTCCGATTCCGGGATTTCGGTTTCGAAACTTTTAGTGGACGATCCTCTGGAGCAAAGTTCCACACCCATGCCTGATGGCTCACGCATAAGTAACCAGGAGTCTGCTTTTGCCGGTATTAATCCTTCCGTACCGAACCCGGCTGTCAACGGGTCCGCCGAGTACGATGCAGCAGATTTGGAAGCGGAAGTTTTTGATTCTCAGGGCAATTTATATCCTGAGATTATACCCGCCTGTGAAGAGCTTGGAAACATCAATTTGGTTAATCCTTCTCTGAGTTATTGCAATAGCTTCAATCAGCAGCAATACCCAAATCAGGGAAACACTGTTTTTCCTTCGGGCCATCATCAAGGCGCGAATCATTGTTTCGCCTTGAATCATCAACTCGGGAATTCGAGTTTTGATCCTTCTTCGATTCGCAATGATTTCGATCATGGAACCGCGAGCCCTTATCAGCAATCTGTTCCTGAACCGATGGTTTTCGCATCTCCTGGTGGTGGATCTGCAAATTTCCAGGGTCCAAGTCATGATCAGAACATGCAATACTTAACTGAGCAGCAAGTGGCGGCTATCATGGAAAACATGGGCCTGGAAATACATTTATCGCATCAAGGATTCAAGGAATCGGGGTACCTGGGAACCCCCAACTTCTTGCCTGATCAGCCAATTCAATTTGAATTATTACCCGGAAACAGTCACAACCCACTTGGGGAAGCTGCAAATCCGTCTTTGAAAGAGTTGCTCGCGGAATATGCTGAATCGCTTGAAACTAATCAAGCAGAAGAATTCACCGAATTGGCTAAAACCAGAGCAGGTCGGGAAGTTAACATACAAGGCGATCCAATGGAGCGTTTAGGTGCTTACATGTTTGAAGGCTTAAATTCCAGGAATCTAAAATCAGGCACACATATTTATAGCAACCTGAAGTGCGACAAGGAGCCAGAAAGCGACGACTTAGCTAAGTCTATGCTGACTCTGTACCACATGTGTCCCTACATAAAATTCGGGTATGTGGCTGCAAATGGCGCCATTGCAAAAGCTTGCGGGAATGCAGACCGAATCCACATTGTCGATTTCCAGATTGCTCAGGGAACACAGTGGGTTTTGTTGCTACAAGCGCTCGCTGCCGTAAGGCCTGACAGGCTTCCTCAGGTGCGCATTACTGGAATCGATGACCCGGATTCTAGACACGCCCGAGGAGGAGTAGGATTGGAGGCGATACGCGCAGGACTTGGAGCTTGTTGTGAGAAATTGGGTATCCAATTTGAGTTCAATGAAGTGCCAGTTTTCGCGGCTGATGTCACAGAGGAGATGCTGAGAATAAGTCCCGGAGAGGTTCTGGCCGTGAACTTCACCTTGCAGCTCCATCACATCCATGACGAAAGTGTTGTTGACTCGAGAAACCAAAGAGATAGCCTCCTCAGGATGGTTAAGTCATTCAATCCCAATGTGGTCACCCTGGTGGAGCAAGAATTGGACACAAATACCACGGACTTCCTCCACGGGTTCTCGGCAACTCTGGACTACTATCTGGCCATTTTCGAGTCCATAGATGCCATAATGACGGATAGATCCAATGAGCGGAGAGTCCATCTAGAACAGCATTGTCTGGGAAAAGACATAATTAATATCATAGCTCGGGAAGAACAAGAGAGAACCGAACGCCACGAGCTCTTCAGCATGTGGAAAGCTAGGTTCACAAAGGCTGGATTTCGACAATGTCCTTTGAGCCCTCCTGTGAACTCAGCGATAAAAGATTTGTTGAAAATCTATTCAGAGCATTACTTTCTGAGAAACAAATATGGTGCATTGTACTTAGGATGGAAGACGACACCTTTGATTGTAGCATCTGCTTGGAAGTGATTGTAGAAATCATCCATACGAAGAGACACCCTAGTTGATAGGAATTCTTTTATGCAAAGTTTTATCTTTCTAGTTGGTAAGGAGTTTTGTTTGTTTTAATTTATTTCAGTTTTGTTTGATTTCTCTAGCTTGTAGGACTTCTGTTTGGTTTTGTTTCAGCTCTGAGGCAAATTTTTTGGTTCATTGAATCAACATTAATTCAAGTCATTTTGCATTAGTTTATGAATCGATGCAGATTCAAAAGGATATCCTCAGTTAGCTAACTATAATTGCTCATAAAGTATAATAATACTTGCCAATTTTCTAAATATCAACTGTTTATTGTCAAGAAAACATTGTTTTTGCAACCAAAAGGTCCAAAACCGACTGACTCTCCACGAAATGGCATTGCAAAACTCTTTTTTTGAGGGCCAAAGGTCAGGGTTTTTATTTTACGTTTATTTTTTTGGAGATCAGATTTCACGAGTAGGGAAAAGAAAAGATATAAAACAATATTCAAGAGTTGAGGATGACATAAATAAATTCTTTCTGAAAAAAAAAATGTGTTACAAGTAACTACAAATAATAGTGTACCAAAACTCGCCAAAACATACATAAAACTAATTTCAACTCCTAAACATCAAATAAGAAATCTCCTCCACAGCTCGCCTCCAAGGTGATTGATGATGAATAATTGCGAATCATCAGTTATGGGTGTAATGTTGACATGACTTGGATCTTTGCCGCATTCTTCCAAAACCCGTTGGATCATAAGGAGCATAAAACAACTCCATATCTCCGCAAAGATAATTTTCCTTATGCTTTCCACCATTCCCATACTGGTACTCTAACCTAATATTCACGTCGAAAGAGATGACTCCGTCCTGCAAATCTTCCCAAATCGCGACTCCAGCCTTCGATTCGCTGATGTTACGGAAAAGAGCCTTTGGTTCTACGACCAGTGTTGTGCTGTTCTTCGGGCTTTGGAAGAAAGGTGCGATTCCCGTCTCGCCGAGGCTGTTGTACCCGAAGTAAGATACCGACACCTCGCCGCCATCCGTGTAACTAATGGAGCTCCTCCTGTTGGGATTCTCGACCTTGAATCCGACCGTCCAGTTGGCCGTGATCCTCTGGGAATCTACATATATATGCGACACTGACATGGACGTTATTCGGACGCTAGGCTGAAATTCGAAGGTTCTATACCAGTAAATTCCACAAGCAGGACAAGAGCTATGATGCATACACAACTCTTTAGGATGATGTAAGGAACTCGAGGTCTTCTGCGCCCAGTTGCGGTACTGTCGTCGGCGAAGTCTTTGGGTGGTGGCAAATCATTAACGGCTGAGGGATCTATGTTTATAGTAGTACTCATGATGATGAACAAAGAAGATTTTGTAGAAGTTTAAGGTTTGCGAGAAGAAGATGAACTGAATTTCTGAAATAACACAAAAGTAGCTAGAGAGGAAGAGAAGCTATATAGCTAGCTGCGAGGAATTAAATCGCTTTGTTGCTTAGGGGAAGTGAATAGAGAAACCAAACTGTGTATCTATATTTATAGTACGATGGACTCCGCAACCTAATGATAAATGGTTTTCTTCTTGTTCTAACGTGGATTTGGTTAAGTAATAATAATAATAATAACAACAATAAATCAAAAAATAAAAAAGATACAAGAAGCAGAAGCGAAAGGGGTACACTTTAATCCTACTTTTACAAGGATTAGGAGTTTTTTTGGAAAGGTACAAGGATAAGGAGTTATGGAGATAACAAATTAATAATTCACTTGGCTATTACCCACTGCTTGCAAAGTCAAGAACTTTAACTACTACTTCATTTGGAGAAACAATGAGAGACCCATGGATTTTCGGATATAAATGGGTACAATCACTGAATCGGAGGTAAGTACTTTGAGCTTAGAGCTTCATAATGATAAATACGCTCCAGTACCATACTTAGAGCTTTTATATATATCCCTAAATTTTGAGAAATATTTCCACATCATATTGCAATAAGGTTTATATTATATATATTTCACACGTTTGACGGAAGCTAAACATGAATAGATCTTACAATTCCAAAGCACAAAAGACAAAGGTACATGGAAATCAAACCGTTGGAAGAGTTCCGACCAATTTCTCTGGAAAGGTTTCGCATAATCAATTGCATTGGGCTCCTCTTTCATGCAATAATGTGAAGATTTAGTGGTACTACTCGTCTCTTCACAGTTCACACTTCACACACGTCAAGTATGATACCTCTAACTATACCATTCTTCAGTGACACCACATACGACCTGTAAATAAGATGACAAGTTACCACTGTGTAAATCATCGGGACTTGTCAACACAAAATCAATGCTATATTCATATGTATTGTGTTCCATATCCCCAATTGATTGCCTAGTTTGGATTTTTATTTTTACTTCAGATTGTACTAAAAGTGACATTTCAAACTGATAAACTACCAAAAAATCAACGAGTAAATAAAAATGATAAACTAGCAAAAAATTGATCACGGAGGTGAATTCCAAATTAACTCAGAATAAATCATTGAGCCCTCCGACCTTCTAAGAACATAGATAAAGATATACACTTCAAAACCCTTGTTATTATTCAGTCAAAATTAGCTACCTGCTATGGCATTAATTATTATCACCGTCATCATCATCACCCTCATTCTTATCGGAACCATCATCTCTATCATCAACACCATTGTCATCGTCATCCCTATCAAAAGATCCTGCAAAAAGGAGCCCCAGAGAGTTCAATTCCAATTGCACAATCTTTTTTGCTCTTCCTTTTTTTTTTTTTGTGCGACGAATCCTCCGTGACCCAGAGGATTAATTTTGGACAACAACGAAACTAAACCTCCATGTTGAATCCAGGGATAATGGGAAGTCAAACGAAGACAGGGGACCCAGCCCAAGAAAAAGAATCAATTTTCACCAATGACACATGAAAAAATTTTTACGGAACCATATATTATTGAACTCCTAGGTTGTTCATTATGTAATAATTAAGGCAATTAGCCTTCAACAGTGATATATTATTGAACGAGAAAAAAAAAAAACTCAAATCACCTGTTTCAGTTAAATCGTGATCTTGAAAAATTTATTTGTTTTCAGAATGAAAGCAAACTTTAGAATGTTAATGCCACCCCCAAATGACTGATATGTTGGGATTTTATTTTTTAACACACTCTATACTAAAAAAACAGAAATTACAAACTAGCTAACAATTCTTTGATGGAGTATATCGTAGGCATGCATGCGGACATCCTACATCACAAATAATCATGGAAAAAGACTACAACATGTAGTTTAAAATAATCAAATATTGTAATATCTTCAAATTTTCTGCTTGGAAAAAGTTAATCGATTTTTAATAACACGTAGTTAATATCATTCTGTCAAATTGATTTGGTAACTTTAGAATCATCCTAAACTGCTAAATATAAGAAATCCCTAAAATTGCGTAGCAGAACAAAGACTAACTAAAATAGGACGTGGATGTTGTTGTATAAATTAAAGTATTTCAAATAGATTTTAATGAGTAAATAAATTTTACTATGAGTAAAATAAAATTAGTGAAAGTTTTGACTTAGTTTTATCATGTTTTAAATAAATAAAATTGCTAAGTCAAAAGTAGAAAAAGTCTAGCACTTAAATTCCTCAATTTTTGGCTATTAAGGTTAAATCTTATCAAAGTGGGAGATTTGGCTTCTGATTTTATAGAGGAGCAACATGCTAATTTTGCACTATAAATAGATGACCATATTGATGTGAAGAAGTGCACCACCAGACTCTTTCTTCTCCCTCTCATTTTCTTTGCATTCTTATTTTTCTTTCGGCTTATTAAACCCACAAACAGAAGCTTTCTTTTCTAAATTATTTGTTCTCTTCGTTGGTTTATTAAACAAAAGAGTTAGCCGTCAGTTTATGCTTTTGGTTTTTTTTATTTGTTTTGTTTCGGTTCAAACAAATATTTTGAAAAAAGAAATCATTTTTTTTTTTCATTCTTTGTTGCTGGATTAATATTTTAGCTGTTTATGTTCCCTCTATTATTTGAGGAAGACTTGTTTAATCATGGGAAGACATTTTAATACCATTGAAATAGTTTCTTAAGGACAGTGTTTTTTAACGCGACTCAAGTATTGTTTATTTATTATTTTTTCATTAGTATTTGGCCTACATTTTTCCTACAATCTTAAGAAACTGTGACTTCTGGCCATACTAATTCTATCAATGTTGAAACTATGTATATTATTGTACCAGTTTCAGCTACGGTCCTTGTCCGTTTAATCAATGTCAAACCTTTTTCCGATATATTTAGGATTGAAGACACTAACAGAAAGGAGTCAAATACAAAAGCCAAGGAGATAGTGCTCAAAGCGAATTTGGTGCAAAGCGACAATAAAAGGTACACAAACAAGTCTATCCACTGACAGTTGGGTTTCTTAAAAGAGCCATCTTTCTCAACTAGTTCGGAAGATCGCTTCATCTCTATACTAAACAACCAGGGTCTTCTTCCTCTGCTAAAACAAATCTCACCAAAATTGTTGGTCCCTTGCGTTGTTCAGCAGAGGGAGATGAAGAATCGTTTAAATAAATATTACGATAACTAGATGTTGCGTAATATTACGATAACTAGATGTTTAGATGGATGAATTTAACTTAGTTTTTTTCTTATTAAAAATACTAGTTGTTAAACCCGTGCGATGCACGGGATTTATACATAAGTTTATACTCCCTCCATTCCAAAATAAGTGTCATTTTAGCAAAATGGAGAAATTCCAAAATGAGAGTCGTTCTCACATTTCAATGCACTTTTTGTCAAACGTTTCTAAAATTACCCTCAAATGAGTTGATGCTATTGGTGGACAAATTTATAATGGGGTTGGTGGAGGATATTCAAGTAATTTTATTACCCTATTTAAGAGTTTCTAAAACTATGTGCAAAGTGTAGGACGACACTTATTGGGGATGCAACCACTAATGCCCTCTGCCCTGATCATTCCTCTTGTTCTCAAGTTATCTACATTAATGGCGTCCAGCAAACTGTAAGAACAATAGTACTTCTGTGCATGCGTCCATTAATTGATCATTCTCTTTCCAGCCCATCATAGTTTATTCTTTATTCCTGATTTGTGCGTAAGTTTCCTGGGATGTGAAAGGGATTTTCATTATTTGGATTTTAATAATATTAACTATTTTCTGTTGAGATTGAAGGTATGAAGTGATTAGTGAACCCTCTTTCAATCTAGATTCTTGAATGATAGTTTCTTCTGCGCCGTGCTTACTTCTCCTTTTGGCATACTTCTCCTGAAACACCTTTGTTATTATTATAGCAGTTATAAATCAATCGAGGAGCTTATTTTGGGGGTCTGTCTTTATATTCAATAAATTAGAATTTGGTAAGTTTTACTTCATCTTCTACTGAATGCATGAGTACATTGTTACAATTTGTGTGAATATATAATATGGTTAATACTATTGGGTTTTTTTTTTTTCTTGAAAGGGTTGGATGATCATGTTACATTTGTTTAAATTCAATAATCATATTGTATTAACAGTTGAGTTTGTAGGTTGAATATTGCACTTTGTGAATTTAATATAGATGTAAGAATTTGAGGTTCATGTTTTCAAATGTGCAACTAATTTGTAAAGACAGTAGACAAAAAAGAATTTTATCTGAAATACTAAGAGTAAAGAAATATTAATAATAGCATATGGGTACTAAAGGTTAGATAGAACCTCTTTGTAAATGACATTGGTTGTCACATTTGTATACTCACCATCGCCATTGCAAATTAGAATTTTCAATCCTTCTCTTGAAGTAATCCTCGATAGGGCGACATAAAGTTGTCCGTGGCTGAACACAGGACGTGGCAAATATAGGCCAACTTGGGACAAAGATTGTCCTTGACTCTTGTTAATTATCATTGCGAAGCATAATGATATAGGAAATTTCCTTCTCTTCATCTTGAATGGATATCGAGTATATGATGGTGTTATTGATAGTCGAGGTATAAAAACCGTGTCACCTACATTGCTGCCTGATATCACCTTTGCCTGAAGAACACGTTGGCCCAACCTAGTAATTACTAATCTTGTACCATTACATAGGCCACCTCGTTGGTCAATATTCCTAAGTAACATTACTGGAACACCAACCTTCAGCTTTAATTTGTGGTTAGGCAAACCTGAACACTTAATGCTATTTAGAAAGTCCGGTGTGTAAACACAATCGTTAACATCCACACCACCATCGGAGCTGTCTATGCTATCTGAACTCAAAAATGTTACCTCATCACCATCTATAAATCGAAGCATATGCTCATTGATAACATCGACGTCTTCATGTGTAGGAGCGA